ATAAAAATTTTAAAAAACGAGGAAGATTTTTCGATTTGCAAAGTAGAGAGAAAAGGAAAAATGAAATGATAATAATAATAATAATGTAAAGGATTTATTTCTCTTGTTTGTTTCAGATGAACCTCACGGGAAAACATCAGGGTGGGAACACGATCACGTACATGGGAGAGCTTCTTCCGAAGACAGCTGGTGTTCAGGTTCGGATAATGATTTGTCTTCCGGAGATGAGAGTAGCGAGAGAAGTGCCACTTCTAGTACAAGGTAAAATAATAATAATAATAATAATAATAATAATAATAATAATAATAATAATAAAAATTCAAATTTCGACTGGTCCAAGATAAAAAAGTATGTCGAGTTTTCATCATCATTATTATTATTATTATTTTATTATTTACATTGGTAGAATAATAATAATAATGATAATATATTCACGATTCGGGTTTTTTTTTTTTGAATTAATTCATTCATTAATTAAATAAATAAATAAAAGAACGAATGACGGGGGGGGACGGGAGTGGGGGTTGGGGAAAACGTTTATTTCGAATTTAATGTTTATTTATTTATTATTATGAGGGAGGAAGGGAAAGGGGTAGGAGGGATGTTTTGTGTATTCGAAACGTTGAAATTTTAATTTTATTATTATTTTTTTAAAATTGTGCAGGAGCAACGGGCAGCTGAGACAAACCCTCAACAAGGCTCGAACTTTATGTGATAAATTTAGACCTCACGCGTTGAAAGATCCTCCCCCGGGTCACGATGGAGGTCAACCGCCAGGAAGACTATCAAGATGGTTTTCTATGAGACGAGGTTCATCGAATCAGTATGAATTAGATAATAGCCAGGATAGGCTTCACATAGGGGGTAAAATGCCCTTGCTCTCCGAGGTAATTCAAACTCTAGACGTTTTTTATTTAAACTCTTTCTTTCTTGTTGTAATGTTTGATTATAAAAAAAAAATTGTTTTTCTCTCTCTCTCTCTCTCTCTCTCTCTTGCTCTCTCTCTTTCCGTCGACGAAGGTGGACGAAGAAAGTTTAGCACAATCGAATGGAGTTGGAACGACTCCAGGGTTTTCTAGGCGTCAGGTACCGCCTACCCTACCTCACCCGCCTTTAAATTTGACTCCTCAACAATTAAAGAGACGTCATATAATAGCGGCAATTGTACATAGTGAAAATTCTTACGTTGCGACTCTTCAAAGGCTTGTAAATGTAAGTTTGAGTTTTTTTTTTTTTTTTTTTTTTCAAATTGGGGGGGGGGAAATTATTTTTTTTTTTATTTTTAACTTGATGTGTTAATTTAAAAATTTTTCAGGATTATAAAAAACCTCTCGAAGAATCATCTCCGGCAATTCTTTCGTCTAGTAAAATCTCCACGCTCTTTTTGAGACTTCCTGAAATTTTACAATGTCACACGTTGTTTCGCATAGCACTCGCAGAAGCCATAAGAACGTGGGACAAAGACGAACGGATCGGAGATGTTTTCGTCGCATCTTTTTCCAAAAGCATAGTTTTAGACGTTTATTCGGGTTTTATAAATAATTTTTCCGTAGCCATGGATTTAGCTAAAACTGAAGCTAAAAGAAAAAGTGCATTAGCTGATTTTTTAAAGGTAAACAAAACTCTCTCTCTCTCTCCATCTTTTCTCGTTAAATTTAATTTTACGGATTCATAAATAAGTAATTTTAATTTATTTAATGATTCAGGTGAAACAGATTAGTTCGCATGACAGACTCTCTTTTTTCGGTTTGATGGTAAAACCGGTACAAAGATTTCCACAATTTATTTTGTTTTTACAAGACTTACTTAAACACACGCCGCAAGGTCATCACGACAGAATGTCTTTGCAGTTGGCTTTAACACAATTGGAATCCTTGGCGGAAATGTTGAACGAAAGAAAACGAGAGTCTGAACAATTCCAGGTACAATTTGAAGGAAAAAAAAAATTATTTTTAATAATTTTGTCATTTAAATTTAACATACATGGAAATAGGAATAAAAAAATGATAAATTATGTTTAGGCTTTTAAAGAAATGTTGCGTCACGTTTCGGGAAAATTTGCACGTCCATCACTATCCGACTCTGACAGATATCTACTTAGGGAAGATAACGTCACGCAATTAGAATTTAATCAAAATGGAGTGGTGACGAAAACGAAAAATAGAAGATTATTACTTCTTAACGATCTCCTAGTCTGTGTTAGTGTTGCTCCTAAATCCGCGGATGATTTTAGCAGTAGCGAACGTTTAACACTAAAGTGGTCCCATCCTGTGACTGATATAGAGGTAATAACAAAAAAAAACCTTTTGGTTAAATAATGACGACTCCCCTCCCCCCACCCCATAATATTATTAATATTATTATTATTGTTATTTAATTAGATTCAAGACACAAGTGCGTCGCCTACGCTAAGCAGATTATTAACAGCCGGTTTAAATAGGTCGGGAAGTCTGAAAAAAGAATCAACCGCTGATGGTGGAACGAATCATCAACCCGTGGATAGCATTTGTCAAGAAATGGCGGATTTAATGCACGATTACGAAGTACTTAGTAGAATTACCGAATGGGTTGGAACTTTGCGCGGAAACTATAAAGTAATAATAGGAACATAAAATGATTTTTTCCCCCCTCACGCTTCTCAAAGGTCGATAACATTTTTGTTTTTTTTTTTTTTTTAAAGGCGCTTACAGTGGATTCAATGAAAAATTTACTCCACGATATTCAAGCGGAAATTCAAAAGAAGGACGAAGTCATGTCTTGGGTTGATTCTTGTTGCCTTCAGATTACGTTGAAGAGTAAAAATAAAGAAGAGACGGTTACGTTTCAAACGGATAATCCATCTGTTAAAAAAGAATGGATTACCGAATTAAGGTTAGAAGAGATTTAACAAAAAAAAACTCGCATCGTGATCATTATAATCCGTCGAGATTATTTTTTTGTTTTGTTTTACCGTCATAATTTTATTTTTTTTTAGGTTGGCACAATTAGCTTTGGACATAAATAATTCACCTGCATGGGAAATACCTGAGGAGGAACAAAGGCCGAGCACGAAAATGCCATTATTTGTTAAAGCACAAAGTGTTTACTCATCTAAACACCAAACCGAGGTGAGTCGTCGTTAAGTTTTTAATTTTTTTAACGTGAAATCGTGAAAATTATTATTTATTACGATAACATAGAGTAAGTAATAATTACTGGAATTTTAAATAATAATAATAATAAGAGTTAAATCGTATTTAATGTATTTTAAATTATTTATTTTTCTCCAGGTTCAGAGTGGTTGTTTTTACACGGTGGCCATTAATAAACCCTCTGCTCGTCACAGGAGATTACGTCATCAAAATTATTTATGGGTTTGCACATCTGACGGTGTGAGTTCTCACATATCAATATTGGCACAACAGGCACATCAAGCGAGTCAATTGAAAAACGTACAAGCTTTCGATTTAGTTGAAACACGTGTGACGTGTATGGAATTCGTTAAGGGAGTCGATGGACCGGGTTTGGAAAGTGATTTGGTTTGGATGGGAACAAACAGTTGTCGGTGAGTAGGAAAGGACGAATGGGGAAGGAAAATTGAATGAAAATCAAAGAGTTTGAAGTAATCATTTCTTTTTTTTTTTTTAGAATATTGATTTATTCTGCGGGCGAACCGGAAAAGGAAGAAGAGATAGCAACGTTTACAGTCGCCGCGGTACCCGTGCAAATCCGCTATCACAGCAATAGCGTTTTTGTCGCTTCCGCAAATGGAAATCTAATAATTTACCAAAGAAACGATAGCGGAGGTTGGCCTACTACTCCTAATCTCACAATTAATTTAGGATCTGATCCCGTATCGAGTCTGCTCCCTATAAATACGTCACTGTATGCCGCCTGTGGGAAAAAAGTTTCCGTTCATTGTATTTTCACGGGTGAAATTCAGGTAAAAAAATCATTTCTAGCGAAATGTTTTAGAAAGTTTTTTTTTTTTTTAATGTTTACCATGTCGGGAGATTTAATTTTTTTTTTTTTTTTTTTATTAAATTCCAGAAAAGTTTTAGCGTTTTACACGATCAAGTCGGAAATGTAAATTTAATGGCTCATTCAGGTGTGGGCCTTTGGATTTCTTTAAAAAATTCTTCCACCATTTGTCTTTACCACACGGAAACTTTTAAACATTTGCAAGATATAAACATAGCGAACAACGTTCTCAGAGTGACGTCTTCCCCGAACGGTCAATGCAGTAACCGGGATTGCACGATCAACAACAGGACTCTCATATCCGTCACGTCTTTGATGGCGTGCAAAGGACTTTTATGGGTCGGTACAAACGTTGGCATTGCTTTGACCATTCCGCTCCCGCGACTCGAGGGTGTTCCGATCATTTCCGGACGCGTCAACATATCTTATCACGCTCACTTTGGTGCCATATCCTTTTTACTGGCTCTTCAGCCTAAAAGTTACATATGCGTGGGTAAAAAGAATTCGGATGAGAAAAAATTATCGGTTGATAAATCGAAGCAACAGGTGGACAGGACGACGACGACGACGGCATCGCCGATAATGTTGAGAAAGAAAAAAGCCGTTAAAGAAAGCGAAAACCTACGAAGGATGAGCAAAACTTTACCACGTGGAATTTTCTCGTCGAGTTCGAGTTCTCAGAGCAGCAACGAAGCCTGCGACGTGTACGGACTATATGGAGAATTGATGAACTGTAAAGATTTCGAAAACGAGGAAGCCGCGAACACGGATCCCATTTACGAAAGTCTGAGGAGGAGCGATCCGGATTTATCGGCTTTGCCGGGTAAAATAAGCACATTGGACAGGAGGTTAAAATTGAAAACGTCGAGGCCCAGGAGTTTAGATTTATCCAATTGGAGCGTGGAATCTCACACTTCGAGTGTATATACGTCGTCGGGAAGTGAAGAATGTGTTCAAAAGCAAAGATCCGAGTTAAATAGAACGAATTCGAATAATGAAGGGAAAACGGTTAAAAATAAAGATTTAAAACGTTCCGGATCGACGGGAGCTCTTCCGAACGTGACATTCGATCAAGAATTAATTAAATGTAGACGTACTGTTGCCAAAAAGGATGAAAAAAATAAAGAAGGCGAAGAAGAAGAGGAAGAAGGTAGAGAAGGAGGAGGAGGAGGAGGAGGAGAAGGTGAAGAAATGAAAAAGAAGAAAAATGAAGCCAAAGTCGAAAGGTGCAAAACTTTAAGCAAATGTAAAACAATGAAAGGAACCGCCGCGGATTGTGGGAGGCGAACAATCATTACTTTAATGGGGGGTCGTGGTTACGTCAATTGGAGGCAAACGTGTTGTTCGACGGATAAATCAAAATTATCGACCGTTAAAGAACCCGATAGTAATGATGCACATATAGTTATATGGGAAATGAAATTATGAGGTTCTGCTACTACTGCTACCATTAAAAACCTTAAAAATCTCCGTTTGAGAGTCAGAGTGGCCAATATTAAGCGCGCGGAAAGATTTTGTAATATTCACCAAAAAAAAAGTCATCCAAGTGTAATTATTAATTATTGTTTTTGAAGTTACTTTTTTTTATTTGTTTTGCTCTTTCCACATAAATATAATTACATAATAATAATAATAATTTATTACCTTTTTCAACAACCAAATGAATACTATTAAAAAAAAAAAAAAAAATTATTTAAAGTTAATTATTATTGAATTATTTTATTTAATAAAAAATATTTTTTAAATATATATACTTTTTCCTTTACATTTTTATATCCTGTTTTTTAACTCTTTTCATCATCATTATTATTATTTAACGAATTTTTTTCTAATAGGGTCAAAGGTTATTTATTTAAATTAAAATTTTGTTGAAAGAAATTATTTTTTAGATATTAGGTAAGTGTGATGAAAAGTTAAACGACAAATAAAATTTTTTAAATTTAGCAGAAGACATTAACGGAAAGATTTAACGCTTGCTGAGCCTTTGTCTTCTGCCACGTTAAGTTTTGATTAGTAATTAATATACATGTGAGGTATATCGTTAGTTGAAACTCTTATTATTTTTAATTGAACGGATTAAATGTTAAATAAATAATATAATAATGGCTAATCGCCATAGCTCGATGAATCCGTTTTTTTCTACTGCTGAGAAATTAATAGATGATGTAAGTTAATTAAATTATTGAAATAAATATATATTTAAAATATTCGCGGTTTATCCGTTAATCACAGATATTATTTTATTTTTATTAACTTATTTTAAATTAAATTACGTATGGTTTCGGTTAAAAATTAAAAAAAAATAATTTCTTTTTTTAAAATACGATTTTATATAAGAGAAAAATTTTTCGCGATTTGATAAAAAATGCTTGCTTGAAGATTCTTTTGAATTTAAGGTTATTATACTTTAAATAAACTTTCTGATAAATATTATTTATTTGCAGAAACAAGATATTAAATTTTACGAATCGGATATGAATTATGATTCACTTAAAAAAATTATTTTATCGAGGGCTGAAACGGCAGAGGAAAAATTTAAAATATTGGATGCTCGAGATAAACTTTTTAAATTAAGTATGACTTTTTTTTTTTTTTACAATCACATTTACATATTATCCTATTTTGTGCTTTGAATAAACCTTAAACTGTCATAATTATTGATTTTCAGTGCAAGTTAAAGATCCATTGTTAAAAAGAGAAGCACTCTGTGCTACATGTCCAGATATGTGTCCTGAAAAAGAAAGACTTTTGAGAGAATATCAAAACAGAGGATCTATTTTCGAAATGACTAATTTTTCAAAGGTACAACAAATTTCACAATGTGTTTCCACGATTTCATTATATAAAATTATTATTATTAAATGACTCTTTAAATAAATTTTAGATTTATGGTTTTAATCATAGTTTGGCCGTGAAAGAATATGCTAGGAGTTCTGCCGATCAGGAAGAACCATTACCTCATGATTTAAGACCAGTTCATGTATTAACCATGACAATGAATCATTTACTTCATAATGTTGCAGATTTTTGCGAATTATCCGATGACAATTTGGAAGAGTGGTATATGTTCATGTGGGACAGAACTCGAGCATTACGAAAAGTAAATATCGCTGCAATACTAATAATACAATTAATAAAAATAAATATTTTGCCATATTAAATTTGTATTTGTTTTGCATTTCAGGAACTTACTCAACAAGCAGTTTGTTGTAAAGAAAGTTTATCTTTAATTGAACAGTGTGCAAGATTTCACATACATTGTGCCGAACGTTTAGTCGATCAAGATAGTTCAATATATGATGATAAAATAAATACAGAAAATTTAACAAAATGTTTGCAAACGTTAAAATCAATGTATAAAGATTTAGCTAAAGAGGATGTTAATTGTCCAAATGAAGCTGAATTCGTCTGCTACACTTTGTTATTAAATTTAAATAACTCATCGTTTTTTACGTAAGCTAACTTCTTTAATAAAATAATAACAATCTCACATTCTTTATTTTAAAGGTGATCTTAATTTATTTTTTAGAGAACTTAGTGACATGAGTGAATCCATAATGGCTTCAGATGAGGTTAAGTTTGCTCTTGATGTTATGGTCGCATGGGAAACAAAAAATTATATAAGATTTTTCAACTTGGTAAAAAAAACAACTTATTTAAACTGTTGTATTCTTAGAAGATATTTTGGCGAAATGAGATTGTACGCCATTAAAACAATGATAAGATCTTATTGTACAAAAAATACATCACCTTTGGTTTGTTATTTTGTTTACACTCATTCATTTATATAAAATTTATTTTGTGTTTATAATCCAAAAAAAAAAAAAATTTAATTTTAGATAGAATTATCTCGTTTTGTTATAAATCTTAATTTCGAAGGAGAAGAAGAATGTATAGAATTTTTATCTCATTGTAATTTTGATTTTCGTGAAAATGATGGCGTGAATGCTGTTAATTTTAACAGGTTACACTTTCAAAATCCTTCGACGTTACTAAATACGGGAAGAGCTCACATATTTATTGGAGAAAAAAAAAAAATTCCCCTTTCAGCCGTAAGTATACCGTATACGTCATTGAATTCCATTTCCGGTTTGTAATGATCATGAAAATATATTTCAGTTACTGGCTGGTGGTACATTACCTCCAAAACTCTTTGAAAATTATGTACCGGTAAATAGTTTTACCGAAAATGGTGAACTAAAAGACGTTTCCATGTTAAAATTAGATTCGGATGATGAAATTTTAAACGTACCTGAATCAGATGATCAAACAGATCGTAGTGTAGATTTAGAAACAAGAAAAGAAAATTATTTACAACCTATTTCTACGTACGTACTCCTTTTAATACGTTAAAATTAATTATTATTATTATTATTATTGTATGAAAACTAAAATTTTCTTTTGGATTTAGGGATATTTTTAATAAAGGAAAATCCAGGGAATTTTCATTCAATTCAGGTTTAGAAACGAAGAGAGAAAATGAATTCGTTTATTCCAATAATCCATTGGTGACGTCTAATCAATCATCCACGTTTTCCTTCGGTAGTTTTACGTTAAACAAACATCCGGAAGCTTCGAATACGTTTAAAGAAATTTTTCAAAATAAAACAAAAACCGGAAGTAAAATTTTTGATAATTCCGTAACATCGACAAATAACATTTTAAACGCTGAATGGTCTCAACAACAAAATAATTCACGCGGTTTTTTCGGTTCAGAAAAGAATAATCTACCGTTATTTAAGGCACCGAGTATATTTAACAAAGGAAACATGGCTGAAAAAGATGTCGGATCTTACTCGGCCATTTTCGAAAGTTCAAATAATTATGGGATAAACAAAAATTCGGTCGTCGGTTCCGGTTTTCAGTTTAAAATTGACTCGTCGCCGTTAAAAAAAGAATTTAACAACGATAATTTAATAATAAATAATAATTTATTCGACGTGAATAAAGAAAAAACTGAAAATTATACAAATGAAGAAATGAATAGAAAAAGAAAAAGAAATCAACAAAATGAAAAGGAGGAAAAAGAAGAGGGAGAAGGAGAGGGAGACAAAAAAATAATAATTATTGAAAAAAATATTTTATTCGAAGAAAAACGTAAAAAAGAATTGGAAGAAAATGAAAAGAGAGAAAGGATGAAAAAACAAGAAGAAGAAGAAGAAGAAGACATGAGAATTGAAATGGAAAAGAAGAAAAGAAAAGAAGAAGAAGAAAAAGAAAGGAAAAGGAAACAAATGGAAAATGAAGAGAGATTGAAAGAGTTGGAAAAAATTAAAATCAAAGAGGAAATGGAATACAGGTACAATGTGACAATGTACCTACGGTGTAGGTATCTTTATCGATTAATTCTTTATCTATTTTCAGGCAAAAGGTTAATGACAAACTAAAAAAACTAAAAGAAAATTGGCTCAAATGGAAAACGAAAATAATATTCAATAAATGGCGAATAAAAACGTGGGATAATATAGAAGAGAGAAAAATGATAAAATATTTCAAAGAAACGAAATTAAGGTATCCTCCGGTTTGTTCGGAAGAATTACTCAACGGTAACCCGTACGGATTAGTCATTCCTAACACGTTAATATTTGAAAAATTTAAAAACTGGAGAAAAGATTTAATGACTCAAATTCCCAAATCGAATAAATTACTCATTTTAAATGATAATTTACCGTTAATTAAAGTAAATAGAATCGTCGAGAAAATATTAGAAAATCGTGCGAAAAGGTATGGAAACATTTGAACCTTTTCTTCTTTGCACTGTAGAATGAATGACAATTATTATTATTTCAAATTAATTTGCAGCGAAAATTGCAAAAGGGATCCATTTTTGTGGAAATTAATCATTTCCGTACCTGACGAACTGGAATGTCCGGAACATTGGAAATCGATTGAAACTTTTGTCGAAATGCATTTTGTTAAAAAATTTCAATGGGATTTTGGAAAAGAAGTATGGCGATATTATTATTAATATCCGGTTTTTTTTTTTTTTTTTTTTTTTTTTGTTTGCAACACGTAATTTTTATTTACTCTCATTTTTTTTTGTTTTTAGAATGGACCGTTATATTGTCAAAATGGCGCCCGTAAATCATTTAAATATTTTATAAGTATAAGAAAATTACGTGGGAGTAAATTGTACGAGGGTTCTCATCAATCTAATTCCACGGCTATCGAAGGATGTTGCGCCGTTATTTACTTCACGACGAAAATGGAAAATTGTAATAGCGGTAAAAAAATGGAACGATTAAAAGCGATTTTAAAATCTAAACCATCGAATCCGAAAGTAAATTTTAGTTTTTTAGTTTACGCGCGCGAAAGAAAAAAAAGGTTTTTATTATTAAAAAAATGAAAAAAAAAATTTCAGGTTCCCGTGATTGTGTACGCACTAACTGATAAACCGGAAGATGAAAACGAAATTAAAAAAACTTTCAACGCGGAGGAGCCTTTGTTGGAATCTCACGTGTCAGAATGTCACGTGATATCCGTAGTTAACGGAAAACATCACATGGTACAAAAATTAATCGAATGCCTTAAATTAGCGGCTGAAAAAACGGCCGTGCCTTATTTATTAAATATATCAAACCTGTCGGAATTTTTCACCGAAACACGAATCGATTCAATATGGCGAAGAATCGGTATCGGTTTGAGTAATTTTAAACTTGTTTTGGTGAGAGACACGAAACCTAATAAGTGAAATAAATAATAATGATAATAACGATAAATAAATCGGCCATTTTTTTTTTCCACTTTCAGGACGAGCCCAAAGTATTAATAGAATTTTATAATTCTTGCATTGACGAATTAATTAACGTGTTTTTAACGGATGTGACGAGGGAAGAATTTTCAATCGTCGAAGAATTTCTAGAAATTCCAAAATTGGTTCGTCCGAAAAAAACTTTGGCGTACGAGGAAAAATTAAAAGAAAATTTAAATAAAATGAAATTGCCACGATGGCCGATTGAAACGCCCAAAAGTTGTCATCAGTTAAATTATAGAATTCATCAGTATTGTAAAAATATTGTAAATAATGATAGGTTAAAAGTTAAAAATTTAAAATGGAGGCATGTTTGTTTTTGTATTAATAAAATTTTCATTCGAAAAGAAAATTTTTTCAAAATTTATTATTCAAGAAATAAAATTTTGATTTTAGATTGTACAATATAATACGACGATTCCTTTTGTGGAAAGGTTTAGATATATATTGCGACGAAGACATAAACGAAATTCTTATTAATTTTCCATGGATTCAAATGTTTCAGGTTAGTTTCGAACCTTTTTGCCTTCATTTTGTTTTGTTTTGTTTTGTTTTTGTAATTATTGAAATTTTTTTGTTTGTAGGAATTGACAAGAGTCAAAGCCGAACAGTTAAAAGAAGATTTAATAAAAAATAATAGTAAAGAATCTGTTGTCGTGTACGACGAAGAAAAAATCGTTAAAATTAGTTTCGAACCGAGTTTCGTTAGTAAAATAATAAAAAAATGCAGTAGAGGTTAGTTACTTTTTGAGTTATTTAATTAATTAATGAGAAAATGGAAAGAGAGAAAAAAAGATAACGGTTTTTTTTTTAAAAAAAATGTAAGCAGGCGGTGAATCGGAAGAATCGGATTCGATGAGTCCACGTTTGGAAAACGACAGCATCGTGTACGCATATTCCGCAGCATTAGATAGAAAAAATAAGAAAAGAAAAAGAGACGATTATTTGGAAGAAAGTTTAAACGCATTATTTTCCACTCCCGCAAACAAACGTTTGATTACGGAAGAAGAGGAAGAAGAAGAAGAAGAATCACAAAATTCTAATCCCACGTTAGAATTGATTCAAATTGAAAATAATTTGCGAAGTTTAAACGAAAGATTGGATAAAATAAAAAAAAAATATTTGGAAAACGAATCCGTTATAACGGATATAAAAAATTTTTTGAATTAATTTATTATTATTATTATTTTCATCGAATAATTAATTTATTAGGAGTTTTAATTGTATTAACTAATAAAATGTTTTAAATAATTAACGAAATTACTAGAAGATTATTTTTTTTTATTGTTTTTTCTTACATAAAATATGAAAATTTTACAAGTTTTGTTTAAATAACGAAAAAAAGAAGAAGAAATTAAAAATTGATAATGTTTTATTTTATAAACGATTTATTATTTTACTAATTTTTTTTTTCAGTTTATTACAAAAGTTATTTTCACATTAATTTTTTATCCATTTTGTATCAAAATGTGAAAAATTAATCGTTCACAATTGAATTTTGTATATCCAGCACTCACCGGACTTGATAATTTTACGCCATTTTGTTTTTTTGTAATCGTGGAATTAAGAAATATGTAAACAACGTGACGTAAGAAGTGTATACGTTCAGGTAACATAAAAAGAATCATTAGTTTTATCTTCTGCTTACACGATTCTTAACATCATTAAATTTAAAGATGGCGAATCCTAAATACGCTGGTTTACCTGGAATTGTAAGTCATATTTTATTATATATAATATATTTTTTTTAATTAATAATTTTTATTAAATAACAATTAAATAAATTTAATAAATAATTTTTTTAATTATTAATTTTTTTTTATTTTTCAAATTTTATTTTACTGAAAAAAAAAATTTTTTAATTTCTTTTTGATTAAGTTAAAGGTGTTTCACACCTTAATTACTTATAAAAAAAAATTTTTTTAACAAATAGTTTGAAATGAATTGAGTTTTCTCTAATTAAATTAAAAAGTTTAAATGGAATAACATAATTTGTTGAGTTGGTCATTTGCGTTTAAGATTTTTTTATTTTATTTTAGGATCACATCACAGTTGTCAAAAATTTCAAATTTTTTTTATGTTTAGGCTTCTCCAGATGAAAAAGATGTTTATGAAACTGATGATTTACCGGAAGCAGATCAAGATCCAGAATATACTGAATCTGAATCGGAAAGTATAGAAAGACCTCATTTAGATATATCAAAAGCTCATTCAAGATTTAGAGATAAATTTTTAATTTGCAATAAGGATGTCGATTTTTCCGATAAGTATAGAAGAAAAAGAAATACAGGGTATAAAGCATTACACGGAGATTGGGAAATAGCTGGAGAGGGGGATAATGAAACAATTTTTCAAAGGTGCAATAGATTAAATTGTGAATTTAATGAATTGTTGGAAGATATAAATAAGGTAATTATTAACATTATATACTTTTTATTATAAAAAAAAAAAATTTTTTTTTTTTTTTTTTAAATGAATCAAATTAATGTCTTCATTATCATTTTTATTAAAGCTTAAAGAAGAGACGAGCGCAGAAAAAAAGAAAGAATTAGAAATGGTTGAACCATTAGTTCCACAACTTCAACTTTCATTACATCAGATAAATAATTATTTAAACTCATCAGATTCAGATAATGAATTTATGAAATTTTTGTCGGATCCCCAAGAAAGTCAAATCAAGTAATGAAAATTCCAATCGTGATTTCTAAATTCAACTTACCGTAAGTTAATTTATTGATTTTTTTTTCTTTTAGAAAACTTTTATCTAAATTGGAACAATTGAAAGATTCTGGAAAAGATGAAAAATCGAGTGGAAAAAGTAAAAAAGATGAAAAACCATCGGATTTGATTACTTATCACCTTCAAACTTTTCCAGCTCAAAATAAATTCATTCAAACGGCTCGTCTTGCCAGTTTAGAGCAAAGAATTAATAAACTCGAATCAGTTTTGGGTACAACTCCAGATAATTTGGTAATTATTTTTTTTTGTCCTTTTTCAAAATAAGAGGAAAATTTTATTTTGTTTTTTTATTTAATAAATTTATTAATTTTTCTCAATTTTACAGAATCGATTGCAATTAAGCGAATTTACAAATGTGTCAGAGGCCGCAAAAGAAATAAGCGCAAGAGTAAATCTATTAGATACTAATAAATTAGATAAAATCGAAGGAAGATTGGGTGCAGTTTTAGCTAAAATGGATGCCTTGGCTGAGAAAAAAGGGGGACAGGGAACTTTGGATCAAGAAAAAAAGGTACAATCAATTTTTTAAAAAAAAATCTTGTTAACACTTTTACGAGTACTTATGAAAATACAAATCAAATAACTTTTTTTTTTTTAATTTCAGATAAATGAATTATATGAATCTCTTGGTAAAGCTGAATCATTAAGCCTTTCAATAAAACCAGTAATGGATCGTTTGATTGCTCTCAATACACTTCATGCAGAAGGTAAGTCTCAGTTTTTAATCCTTGCAAAAGAAAAGATAAATAAAAAAGAGGATAATTTTTTTTTTTAATATTGATTTTTTTTTAGCGGGAGAATTTAAAAAATCATTAAAAGAACTTGAAACGGATCAAGTAAATGCTTCCGTGAGCATTTCAAAAAATGAAACGGTTTTAAAAAATGTTCAGGATGCTTTAGAAAAGCATTTAGAAATCGTTGCGAGAAACATAAAAGCTTTCGACGACAGATTAGGAGCAATTAAAAAATAAAATATGCCTCTCTTAACACGCATATAATTTATATTATTATTATTATTATTATTATTATTATTTTATTTTAATTTAACTTAAAAAATTTATTTATTATAACTATTTAATAATAACTTAAATCTGCTGTGCGTTTATAAATAATCTAAGCTTTAAACAACGATTACGATAAAATCATAAAAATAATTCTAATAATAATAATAATTTTTATCTTTTTAATACTTTATTATTAATATGTGATGGATTTATTAATGTTTAAAAAAAAAATAAATAAATAATACAATTAAAAAATAATTAATAATTAATTTTTTTTTTTAATATATTGAGAAATAATAATAATAATAATAATAATAATAATAATAATAATAATAATAATAATAATAATAATAATAATAATAATAATAATAATAATAATAATAATAATAATAATAATAATAATAATAATAATAATAATAATAATAATAATTTCGTGTATAAGCGTGTAATTAAAAACGCAATGAAAAAAAAAACACAATTTGGTTATTTATTTTTATTTATTTTTTTACATAAAAATTAATAGTAGAAATTTTTTTGGCGGTTAAAAATTAGAAAAAAAAAAATCAACACGCGGTAATTTTAATTCTATTGTATACACGTGCACGCGCACACGCACACACACCCACGCACGTGTTTTTTTTTTTATCCTTTCGAAAAAGACGAAACTCGAATGCTGCTTTTCTTTCGTAAAACAAACAAACAAACAGACAAACAGGTCGTTCTCCATTACGCAAATTTTATTGCGGTGATGATTTGATTTGTTCGTACAAATACAGGTATCCGAGTTCTTTCGGAGGACATTCCGAGAGAGCAACTTTATTGTCGTTGTAAATGATCCACTGTCCATCTTTGAGAATGTGACAAACGTAGTGTCCCACCATCGATGACGTACCCATGTGAGATATGAAAGCGCGAAGTTTATAACCTGAAAATACGTTAGTTTTGCAGAAGGAGTAACTTAAAGAAAAGTGGGGGTTTTTTTTTTGGGGGGGGGGGGGAGGGGGTTACTCACAAGTGCTATTTCGATCGCTCGATTCCGGTTGACTAATAACATCGTCAAAATGTTCTAATATCCAATCGCAAGCTGCATCGATATTATTATTAGTTTTTTTTAATGCTCTCATTGCTTGCTCTCGAGTGAATCCCATGTCCATTATTTGGCTAATTGAAGTTTCATCAGGTTTAAATGGCGTTTGATCTGAAAAAGAAACGATAAACGAATGCATTTTTCCTCCTTTTCCCTTTTTTTTTAAAAAAATCCTTTTGTGTATTTTCATTCTTACTCGACGAAATTCCAGGTGGCACGAATGGATTTTCAAAATCGGGATCCTTCATATGAACTTTAATCCATTCCATTGAATCTTCTAAATGTTGTTCTGTGCTAATATTATTTTTCGTTGTAAAATACACGGCTCTTTTAGCTCCTTCCACGTTAAAACCCAATATTAATAATTTACTTAATACTTGTTCATCGAGAACGGGTTGGGGAGGATTTTCAACGACATCCGGTAAAAGTTCTTCGTTCGGTTGTTGTCCACAGCCTAATTAAAAACGAATTCGACATTTATTTTAGTTTTTGTGTGCGTTGAAAAATTCCAATGGCTCATCCATAATACCTTTGATTTCGGAAAGATCTAACGTATCCGGCATTTCTACTGCCACGTCTAATTTCGAAGCTTGATATTCGCTATTTACAAAAAATTTTTTTAAATGGAGTAACAAATATTCCGGAAAAGAGCTTAATCTAGTTGTTTTCGAAGCGGTCGTTTCTCCATTTATGGCCGACGAATAAAATTTTTCAATAATCTCCGGTTGAGAAAAGGCTTTAATGCAAGATGAAAAAGTTATGCAAGGACGGACTATGGCATCGGGATCCCTAAAAAAAAAAAAAGCGGGAGAGTGGGGGTGGATGGGGAAAGAAAATGTAATTTTTGTTTTATACAATATAGAATTTCTAAAATTTACAATTAGATTTTAGTTATGACTTACAATTTTTGACCCTTGGCAAGAGCCTCTCCTTTTTTCCTTTCATACTCTAATACTTCCGTTTTATTAATTGCTTTTTCTACTGGTATAGGAATAGGAAGGCAGTATTCATTCCTGTATAAATATTTGACTTTTTTGCTTTCATTACATTGAAATTTATCTTCGACTTGAAACTTGAAACAGTCAGAGGGATTTTGATCCGGATGAGTATGTCTCTGTGTGTAAAATAAATGTTTGTGGATAATAGAAAAATACTTTAAAGTTTTTTTTTTGTCACTGATGTCGTATTACATACCTCTAACATGTTAATTAAATGAAGGAAAAATTCTTGGGCATCCTGTTGTTGATTGCTGGCAAAATCTCTATTTTCCAATCCGATTATAGTTTTAAACATTTTAGGACTTATTCCTTTTTGCTCTTTATCTTCAACATTATCCGGAGGAGGTTGAGAATATTTTCCAGAACAAAGTCCAAAACCTAATTTAGACCTAGAAAGAATATTCAAATTTTTAAAAAAACATTTTCAGAGATAGGTGTAGACAAAAAAAAATTCATTATAATAATGATAAAACTTACATTTGAACTACGAAATTATAGGCGGGATCATCGAAATAATCTAAAGATTCCATAATTTTAGGAGATTCATCGACAAATCTTCTTATAAATCCAGGAATACTAAAAATAACCTGCATTACACTATTGAGATAACAGGAATTTCCTAAATTTACCATTCCTGAAATCAAACAATTAATTAATTTTTCAAGTTATTTTATAGGGAAAAAAACATTTTGTATTAGGAAAACCATTTTTAATTATTTTAATTTCTTATTTACCTGTTCTTCCTGGTCCATATGCAGGTATAAGAGTGCTTCCTAATTCTTGACAAATACTCCATTCGCCAATTTTTTGATTTAAATCAAGTTCTAATTCTACCATTGTTTTTTCTGTCTGCAATTATTCATTTAATAAACATTAAGAAAATTAAAAAATTTTTTTTTTTTTCGAAATCGTCAAAATTTAATTTAATTTTTTGACCTTTTCGAGTTGAGAAACATCAATTCCAAAATGCAATAAATGTTGTATTAAATAAGGATTATCAACCATATCATTTTCTGATTCATCATAACTGTAAACATCACCTTTTCCTTCTTTTGTTATTGTTCCCAATTTCACAGCTAATGGGTATCCTTTATGAAAAAAAAAAAAATTTGAGGCATTTGTTAGATTTATGAATGTTTTAATTAAATGCCTGTTACATGATGGTAAACGAAAAATAAATCCCATAAAATTTAATACCTGTTTCTTTTGAATGTTGTACTGCATGATTGTTTCCACCAGAACCATCATGGTATTTCCTACCACAAAGGATTGCACCATCAGTCAAATTAAGCCATAAATTTTGAGTTAAATCACATTTTTCACATTTCCAACCTGATAACGGAATTTTTTTCCCATTATTCAGTTGAACTAAATTACTTGCATGCCTAAAATAAATAATAAATTATTTTCTTTAAGAATGAGAAACATAAATAATTGATTAGTGTAGTTTATAATTTACACAAAATCATTAAGATGATTACTATATCATTTATATAAAAGTATGATTAATAAATTTAATTTACTTAGTAACAAATCTTTGTTCTCCATCCCATGTCCCGGTTAAAGCTGATAGTTCAGCCATTTTTAAAGCTGAAGTGGCATCAATAATTTCTTGAGCTGCTATTTTTATTATTTCTGGTAAGTTAGGATCTCTAATTGATATGGTTTCATAATTTGGTAAAATAACAATCGAATAATTATCAATAAAAGTGTACTTTTTTTTGTCAGCATCAACATCAAAACCTCCTTCCAAACCTATAGCAAGCCTAGTAATTTTTTTGTCTGGACCTCCTGCATCTCCCTGATGATCAGACTAGGAATAATTATAAAAAAATAAATTAGCAAGGGGCCTTTAAAATCAATCATCAGCATAAATAAGCTTTAAAGTCAAATATACCCACAGGCAATTCTGTTTTAGTTCTTAAATAATGAAGGAAAACTGCATGTTTGGTTTTATTATAATAAAGATCAACATAATCTTTTCCAAATCCCATGAAACTAGTTAAGCTGATATATAATCCGGTTTCACTTTCCTAAAATAAAAAGTAACCGAAAAAAAATTTTTTTTTAAAAATCATCTTATTTCACAATGTTGGGTTTCTGGCATAAATAACCAATAATGGTTAAAAAATAATAAAAAAAATACTTACAGGCGTATCGTAAGACAATAAGCATTCATCTTTATATATTTTATCGTGCTTATTTGGAATTCTAACATTACTCAAATGTGGTAATAAAAACTCACTTTGCACCATTTTAAATATATATATATATATATTACAGTTATTAAACCGGCTGCTAATTAAAATGGCCTCTCAAAACGAGTATTGATAAAAGACCACAGACTAAAATTTTAAATTGTACGTTACTGCTATTTTTAACGCATTCATCATAAATACCTTTGATTACCTCTTATACTTATACTTTTTTTTTTTTTCTAGAAATAACCGAAAAACGATAAAGAACAAATTTATTCTATCAAAAATCCTAAACCGTTAAAACTATTTCCGGTAAACTAAATAAATATTTACGTAGGATTCATTTCGCCATTTAATTAATAACGGATTAAAATTTGATGAAAGGTTCTTTTTACAAAAAAAAAAAAATTATTTGTAAATATTAAAATTATATTTTTAAAATTAGTATAATTAAAATTATAATTAATTGATTTTTTCAAGTCTGGACTTATTGCGGATCACAAAGAACATGAGCAAAAAAATGTACAATGAAATAAACGTTATTTTATCTGAGATAAAACCAAATTAAAAAAAAAAAGTTGTCTTCATTTTTTCATTTACTTTTCAAATTCCAATGCTTGATACTGTTCTTCATCCATTTCGGTGTGAATGAGACTCCCATCGGGCAAAAGCAAGACAACTTTTCTCGGCCCACCTAAAATAGAAAGAAAAAAGAAACCTGAAACCTGCGCCAATAAATAAAATGTAAAAAATAAAATATTTGTTTTGAACTGACCACCCGGAGTTGGGGGTTCTGCCTGTACTATTTGTGCCACCATTTGTTGTCCATCTTCGGTCGCTTCCTCAGTTTCTTCAGTAACTTCTTCTGCTATTGGTGCTCCGCTTGCCACGGCTTCTTGCACAGCAGAATCTAACGTTAAAACCGTTTCACCACCTCCGTCCCCGTCCTGAGTCATATACACTCCACCTTCACTGGTTTGTAAAATTATTTGGTCGTTGGAAGATTCATTTTGCATTAAAATTGTACTTCCGTCTTGAGAATTTTCATCGCCGTTTCCTTGAATCGTTCTTTGGATGATTTGACCGTTTCTTATGACGATTTCAGTGTTTTCAGATTCTATTGTATTCTATAAATAATTACACACATGTATATAAATGTATTTAAAATGAAAAATTTCGACATTTTCTAAATTAATTTTCTAATAATAATTCACCTCGTCTTGTACAACTCTACTATCTACTCTGAATGTGCCATTATTAATGAGCATTTGCTGCTGTTCTGGAGTCATTTGATAAATAATACCATCTTCTCCTTCTATCGATATTAATTCTTGTTCTAATAAAAATTTAAAAAAACCAATTATAATATCGGCATCGAGAATAAAACCATTCGAAAGAAAAAATGAAACTTAAAAAATGTTTAACCTGCACTCTCCATGCATTCATTCGTCGTTCGAACTTTTGCAACTGTTTGCTGTTGTTGTTTTTTTTGAAGGATTGATTGTTGTTTTCTCTGTTGCTGTATGGTGCTCTGTTGGGGTTTGCTTATAATTTGTCTAATAGTACCACCCGGACTCATTTCTACCCTCATCATTCCGTCGTCTTCGATTTCGGGAAGAATGTTTTCTTCCTCGGTAGGAGGCGTCTTTTCTCCTTCCGCTTTTCCTATCGTGACGTAAAATAATCCATTATTATAAAACCCGATCCATATTACTAATAAATTTCAAATACTTCGTTAAAAAAATTCTAACCTAAAACTTCACCAGTAAGAGGACATAGGGTTAAAGGACGTGTGGGGCTGGGTGGAGCTATGGGTTCGTCTTCTTTTGGAAATTCATCCGGTAATCCACCGTCAAAATCATCGTCGGAAAATTTATCCGTTGAAAGTCTATCTTTATTTCCTTTATTTAAAAAATTTCCCAGTCTAACTTGCTGTAAGAGAAAGCAATATGAATTGTTGTCAACAATTTACAAAAACAAAAAACAATTATTATTTAAATCAAGTCAGGTACCGTTTGCTTTTTAACTGTGGTTGGAGCTGTTCTTATAGTAACTTTAGGTTTCAATATTGGCGGTCGTAATGGGCTAGGTATGGGACCCGGGAGCGGACGCATTTTCTTCTGTCCCAATACAATTTGTTTTGGAGTTGACATTGTTTTCGGAGAACCTATTTTAGATATAATTTGTTGCTGATTTATTTTAGGTGAGGTTAATCTTAAAGGCAAAGGAAGCTTGTTCATGCTACTTTTTTGTATTATTTTTACTGATGGTGACAATGTACTGTCTTTTTTCACTATCCCCGACTGTTGTTGATCCCTTTTATATAGTCTTATTTTAGGCTGCACGCTTTTAGCTGGTATTTTTCTGATTTCTGTTTCGTTTATCATAACTTTTGAATTTGATGATTCCGTGAATTTTTTACCCTCCGTTTTCATTGCTTCCGTTAATTTTTGCGCTGTCGGATCATCAACTTTAATCAAACCAGACTGAGATGATAAAATATATACACCTGAAAAAAAAAAAAAAAAAACAATTGAATTAACACAACATTTTCTAATTTTTTACTTTTGACTCGAATGACTTACCAGATGAGAGATTCGGCACTTGTTCAGGATCAACTCGTACAACTCCTTTTGAATTGGCGACAAGAACTGGCGTTTTAGAGTTTGAATTCCCTAATATTTTTTTTTTAAACAAATTCGTGAGATCTTGCGTGTCTTGTTTTTTAGGTTTTGGATCGTCTGCGTCGCTATCTTCTTCCGATTCATATTTTCTTTTCGTCCCTATATTAACCCATTCTTTAAAGTGATCAAGAGCTTTCTTTGCGCTTGTTCTTATGGGTCTCGTACTTGCACTAAAAAAAAAAAAAAAGGTTTTTATCAAAATAATGAGAAAAGTATCTATAAATATAAAAATTTGTTTAAAAAACTACAAAAACTAAAAAAAAAATACATTACTATGATACTTGCTTAGTTGGAGTAGAATTCTGAACCAATTCTTCAATTTTTATTACATTTTTAGATATTTTAGATGCTTCTAACGCTTTTCTCGCTTTCTGCCGAGCCAAGTTCCTTTCAAACTCTTGAACTAACTTTGTACATGTACCCATGTTTTGTAACGGCTCCCAAGTATTTTGATCTCTATTGGAAAAAATAAACTTTTCAATAAATTTATACACGTATCACAAATTTAAGATTTTAAATACTGGGTACTTACGATGGAAAACCTTCCCATTTTAATAAATATTCAGGTTTTTTTGTTTTCGGATTGACTCTTTTAGCAACTATTTTTTCCACAACATATTCTTCTTCTTCTGATTCTTCTCCATCTTCTTTAGGTTTGAGTGATTTTCTTATTATTTTGTTTGTAGAACTTTTACCCTAATTTTATTTAATATCAAACAATTTATTTTAGTTTTATTGTATTTTAATTAAAATGAAACAAAAAAAAAAAAAAATTGGAAATATAGAACGCTTTAATTACATCATTTTCTTTTGCTGCTAGGGATTCTTTTTCGTTAACTTTCTTTCCTTTTCCTTCAGCAGCTGATTTTGGTCCTCGTATTAGACCAAGTGTAGACATCATTTCAGTTTCATCATCTTCTAACTCTTTTCTTAACTCTAACAATGTTTGTCTGTGTTGTTGAATTTGTTGGGGTGTCATTGTAGTCTTTAAGGGCTTGTTTATCTAAAAATTAAAATTTTGCTTAATCATGTTAGGAGTGAGCAAAAAAATTTACATTAAAGAGTTTATTAAGGAATAATAACTTTCGATTTTTTAAATAATTTTGAATACAAACCTTATTTGAATTTGTACTTTGAGTATCTAACTTTGCTCTACTTATTTCCGTAAGATTTTTAAGTGACTTTCCTGCTTGTATCCATGTTTTTCGAACCTCTTCAGATAGTTTACACCATCTTTGATAAAGGTTCCAAGAACTTGATGCCCAATCTGGAGATGATTGATTACCAATGTCTTTGGTCCTTGATGCTTTCCACAATAGAAACCCCCACAACTGAGGAGTCGAATCCTAATATTCAAAGTTAATTAAATTGTTAATGTATAAAGGCTTTCAGGCTGTACAAAATTTCTCTGATAAATATATACTTACATTAGTATTACTTTTAAAAATTTGTGTTTCCAAGTCACATTCATTTGAATTTTTATGTTCACTAAATGCTTCTATAAAGTGATAAACATTTTGACATTTTCCACAAACCAAAACATCTAATTGTAAGACATCTTCTTGGGCAGCTAGTTGTAAATGTTAAAAACAAACAAACACCATTACCAAAGTTATAAATTAAAAGAATACTTTATTAAAAACTAATAAAATTTAAAATTTACCTTTAACCATTTCAGCAGAAGGAGGGTTTGGAGCGGTAATAGTGTCCTCTTCTACTTTCTCCTGAACCGATTCTTCAGGAGGCTTTGTAGCATTTTCAGTTTCTGCAGATGCATGCTCAGGTTCACCATCCATTTCTACCATTAGCTCTGCAGATGATTATTATAACAAAATAATAATTTACTAACTTTTCATTAAAACAACACAATACGCGCCGTGTAGGTCCTTATAAAGATTTACAACGCTTTTTGTATATTTTTCACAGACCATACATAGCGTGCTTTTACTACAACACTGACTTTTGGCGAAGTAAAGAATAATTAATTCACTTTATATTTAAAGATACAAATAATGTAAAGTTGCAGACGAAACTAATATTTAAAGAGCATTCCGGAAATAATTTAAATAACAAGAAAAATAAAAGCTACTAAATGAATAATATAAAACAAATAAAAGATTTTAAAAAAATTCTATGTATTAACTGACTGCAATAATTGAAAAAAAACTGACATAAATTAGCGGATTGAACCGTGATAGGCTTTCAGTATTTATCCAAATTAGTTTTGTTTATATGTAATACTGTTTTTTCTTTCAATAATATATTATTTTATGGCATTTTTATTAATAAACATTTATATGATTCTTCCCGCCAAAATCGAGTACATCTTCTGCTAGCAGAGAAATTTTGTGGTGGCTAAAAGTAGCAAGACCTTCGGCATCAAATATAATTGTTATTTATACTCACGATTTTCCATTATAGAAAGTTTATTCTACTATTTGTCGGCGTTGAATGATAATAATGCACATCTGTGCGACAATTTTTAGCCTCGTTATGCAAAAATAATTAAGTTACTAAAACGCGTCAAAATAATTTTACCAAGCTCTTCAAAAAAGCTAGCAACTCAAAACGGAAGAGGCCCAGCCTAATACATAATTTTAGTTTTCTTTATGAAATATCAACACAAGCTATTATGACGTCACTTCCCAAAATTATTTTGTATTGATTTCCTTTGTGAGCCGTTCTGGGCCTCATTTGTGCATTAGTTATGTAGTGTACCTTTGATAGCTTTAAATGGACACTTTCATGCTTAACTTTATTAAATATAATTATTTAAAAATTTTCAATTTTACCTGATGAGTACCAAAAAATAATAGAGTTTTATTACTCTGTATGCGAAATAGCAACTAAAAGAGCTACACTACATTTACAATTATAAAAAAACAAGAAAATTATGCACGAAAATTAAGGCTTCGCTTTTGATGTTTCGTGTCATTAGACTTATTGCACGGCAAATAAGCTCGACTGTTAGAATTTATGAATACAAACTATTAAAATGGTTAACTATTTAATAAATTATTAACTTTAAAGTTTTTTTTTTACCTTTATTATTTCATTTAATTTTATAATGAATCTCGTCGACTTACGTTTTAGATATTTTTATTAAAAGTTTAGTATTAATTGAAATTTATTTCAATATATTATTAGTTTTTTAGCCGGCGAAATAAATCCAAGTAAAAGAAAGTTTGGTTATAGAAATTACTTTATCTCGTTAAAAATGATTGTATTCATACAAATATCATTTTTAAAACAATATTTTAAAAGTAGTAATTTAGCGGAAATAGAGAGTAAATTATTTTCTTGATTAACAACTTATAACAAAAATAAATATATTGAATCATGGAAGAGGAAGAAAGTAAAGAATACCGTTGGGAGACCGGTTACGAAAAAACATGGTATGTTTTTATTTAAAAAAATTTTTGTTATTTGCGTTTTAAAGAATTTTAAATTTAAACAATTAATTTTTTTTTTTTTTTTTTTTTTTTTTTTCAGGGAAGCAATAAGGGACGATGAAGGAGGTCGCATAGAAGAAGCTTCAGTAAATGAAATCATTGAAAAAGAAAAGAGAAAGAGACAGGAGTTAAAAACAGGAAACAGGCGATTGGGATTGATGAGACATGTTTATTTAATAATAGATTGTTCAGAAGCAATGTTAGATCAAGACCTGAGTCCAAATAGACAATTATGTACAGTAAAACTTTTAGAAGGGTTTATTGATGAATTTTTTGAGCAAAATCCAATCGCACAGATGGGTGTTATTATCACAAGAAATAAAAGAGCTGAAAAATTGAGTGATTTGGCTGGAGTTTCAAAAAGACAAAAAGAAGTAAACACAATTTTAGAGCATTTAATTTTAATAATTATTAATAAATACATTATTATCATTTAACTTCTAATACAGATAATTAAAAGTATAGGAGATTTGGCTTGTACAGGACAGCCATCTTTGCAAAATGCTTTGGAATTAGCTGGAAAATCATTAAAATTAAGACCCACACATGCCAGTAGGGAAGTCATTGCAATCATAGCTAATCTGACTACTTGTGATCCTGGTAATGTAGCTGATACTATTAGGTTTATGAAAGAAGAAAACATTCGATGCTCAGTTATAGGATTGGCTGCTGAAGTATATGTTTATAAAACTTTAACCAAAGAAACCAAAGGGACTTACAGTGTTATTTTAGATGATGTTCATTTCAAGTAAGTCCTTTTTTCATATTTATAAACAAGAAATATTAGGAAATTAAATTTATTAGGTATGAATTAAATAAATAAATGTTTGTTTTCAGGAATCAATTATTTCAACAAATAGATCCACCTGCAATGACAAGTAATTTGAGTGCATCATTAATAAAAATGGGTTTTCCTCATCATTCATTGCACGATGACAAATCTTCATTAGGATTGTGCATGTGGTAAGAAAAACAAAAAGAAAAAAAAAATTTACTTTTTTCATTACATCGAATGTTTAAATTTTTATTTTCTTCTTTCACAGCCATTTAGACGACTCCGAGGTTAAATTAAAATCGGATGGATACAAGTGTCCACAATGTGCAGCCAAATATTGCGAACTTCCTGTCGAATGTAAGGTATGCAGTTTAACATTAGTGTCTGCTCCACATCTAGCCAGAACTTTTCATCACCTTTTCCCGGTTCAAAGTTTTGAAAGGTTCGATGGGAAAAATGCTGAAGGTTACTGTTTCGGATGCCAAAAAAAATTTTCCGAAGGAGATACATATGTGAGTTCATTTTATTCTCACGTACATTTCTGACGAGAATAAATAATTTGAAAAAATCATGAATAAATTTTCAGTTATACAAATGTAACAAATGCGAGCAAAGATTTTGCGGCGTCTGCGACATATTTGTTCACGATTCACTTAGAACGTGTCCTGGATGTGCAACAAATCCACTTTTATTTCAAAATAAAACCGCCGCATCATTTAACGCAATCACCTAAGGTTTAAGTGTTTTAGGTTTTCTATTATTTTTTTTTTTAAGAAATTTTTGTAAAAGTTCTAAATTAAATAATAATAATAATAATAATTATTGTTATGATTTGTAAATGTAATTTTTACATTATAAATAAATAATACCAAAATTACACGTAATATTATACACATATTGCGTGCAAATTTGAGTTATGAAAAAAAAATTATTATTTAATTCAGTAGGTATTTGTAATTTTATTAATAAATTTTTTAATACGTTTAAAAAAAAAATAATTTATTTAATTTGAAAATAATATATAATAACGAATCGTACGTTTATTTTTTTATTTTTTATTTTTTTTGCTTTAATTTCAGGGATTTAAATTCAAATGAAAATTGTTTTTAAATTTAATATCAATCCAACGACAAGAAATAATCAAATTTCGATTTATGTTTTTTTCCTGCTTATTCAATATCATATTGGGTAAATAATGGGTGTTACTTTTAATCCAAGTTAAGTACGACTCGTGTGTGTACACAATCATAAAATATTATTTTACAATTTCAAAAGTTTCTAAAAAAAAAAAAAAGAAATGTTTATACTTATTAAAAAAAATTTACGGAAAATGCAGTGAAAAAAAAAATTGTGATTTAATTTAAACAAGTATTATTAATTATTTTTTTAATAAGTTAATTAAAAAATTATTATTTTTTTTTCTAACGTATATCATACGTTGAATACTTTGAATGTTGTTAATCAATTAAAATATTTCTTTTTTTTTTTTTTTTATCAAACAAAATTAATTAAATATTAAAATTATTTTCAATTATCATTATTAGCCTGGTGGTATCATATCAAACACTTTGCAAGCAATTAAAAAATTTTTTTAATTTTTTTTTTTTTTTAATACGAAGAAGTGTTTGTGATTTTTTATTTTACAATTTTAATTAAAGGTTCGATTTTTTAAAAAAAAAAAAAATTCGATTTAATTTGTTTAATTATTATTAATAATAATAATAATATTTCTTATTTGTTTTTTTTTTTTATTGTTTTAATCAAGGCAAAAAAAAAAAATTTATCAGAGTAATTTTAGGATTAATTTTTTTTTTTTGTGATAATTAATGACGAAAATTACTCATGTAATCGTTTTAATTTTTTTTATTTAAAGGTACCCCCTTACTTGTAATTATTATTATTATTATTAAGGGAAATTAAAGAAAAAAAAAGTTAATAATAATAATAAATAAAAATTTGAAATAAGAAAATTTATTATTATTATTATTATTTTTTAATCTGTTATCTGTACATTTTTTTTTTTAAAATGGAAAATCAATGATTTTTATTTTAATCGAATGGAAAAATCTTATCATTTAAAAAATTTTTTTTTTTTTTTAAATGTGCAAAAGAAAAAAAAAAAAGTTTTTTTTTTTTAAAAAAAAAATCAGTTAAAAGTGGAAAATTTTAATTAATAATAATAATAATAATAATAGAGATCGTTTTAATAGGTGTAATCAAATCGTTAAAAGAAAAGAAAAGAAAGAAAGAAAGAAAGAAAGAAAATTTTTTATAATTAGAAATGACTACTTTTTTGTTCTCAAATTTTTATAAAAAATTATTTCAAACGAAAAATTTAGATAATAATAATTTAACGGAAACGAAATTGGCAAGAGTTTTGACGTCACTGGATTTAACACTTTTGGGTAAGTCACGATAATTACTTTAAATATTTTTTTTTTTTTTAAATTTTTTTACTCCATTTTTTTTTGTTTTTTTTTTTTTATAATTTTAGGAGTTGGTTCGACTTTGGGTGTCGGAATATACGTTTTAACCGGTGAAGTTGCCAAAGAAAGTGCAGGACCAGCTGTTATAATATCATTTTTGATAGCTGCCATTGCATCTGCATTTGCTGGATTTTGCTACGGTGAATTCGGTGCAAGAAATCCAAAATCGGGTTCTGCATATGCATATTGTTATTGTACGGTTGGTGAATTTATTGCATTTTTAATCGGTTGGAATCTTATATTGGAATATGTCATAGGTTTGTGTTTATATGATAATGCCACTTATGGAGGGGAGGGGGTGGAAAGTTTAACCGTTTTTTAATTTATAATTACAGGAACGGCAAGTGTTACAAAAGCATTGAGCACATATTTGGATGAACTTTTGGGAAATGTAATATCAGATTTTTTTAAAACGCATTTTCCAATGAATTCTGATTTTTTAGGAGATTATCCAGATTTTTTAGCTTTTGGAATTGTTGTTTTATTATCAAGTAATAAATAATTTTATCATTTTCAAATTAAACTTTTTAAAATTAAATTTGACAAATTTTTTTTTTTTTTTCTAGTTTGTTTGGCATTCGGATTAAAAAGTTCAACAATTATTAATAACATTTTGACAATATTAAATTTATGCGTTGTTGCATTTGTTATCGTATCGGGTGCCATTAATGGTAATTATTATTATATTTCTATGATAATAATAATTTTTTTTGGATTTTTTTAAGTTATTGTTTTTCTGTTTAACAGCAAATGTTGAAAATTGGTTTTTACCTAAAGATAAAGTACCACCAGGTGCTGGTGAAGGTGGTTTTGCTCCTTTTGGTTTTACAGGTAAAACTCTTTTCTTTTTCTTATTAAAAAGAAAAATGGCGGATAAAAAATTAACTAATTTTTCTTTTTTTTTTTTTTTTTTTGTCAAAAAAAGGGATTTTAAAAGGTGCCGCAACGTGTTTTTACGGTTTCATCGGATTTGATTGTATTGCAACAACAGGTGAAGAAGCTAAAACACCAAGAAGATCAATTCCAATTGCGATTGTTTCATCTCTTTTTATTGTTTTTTTAACTTATTTTGGTGTTTCGACCGTATTGACTCTTATGTGGCCTTATTATGATCAAGTAAGACATAATTAAATGATTTTTTAATTATTATATTCAATGTCAAATTCAAGGTTTTATCCTAATTACTCCCCCTCGAAAAATTGGAAAAATTCAAGTAATTATTTTTGTAATAATAATAATAATATTGAAACGTAATCGTTTTTAATTGTTTATAATCATTTGTTTACCGTTTTTTTTTAATTTTTTACAAGAACGTAAATGCTCCTTTATCGTCAATTTTTGATGCCATCGGATGGATTGCAGCAAAATGGATTGTCAGTATAGGAGCTTTATTTGGATTACTTCCGAGTCTTTTGGGTAGTTTACTTCCTCTGCCAAGAATAATATATGCCATGTCAAGCGATGGTTTAATGTATGAAATATTAGGAAGAGTTAATGAAAAATATAAAAGTCCAATGATAGGAACCATATTTTCTGGATTTTTAACCGGTATTATATATATAACATTTATCAATTTTTGTAACCTTAAAATGATGACGATGATAAATTTTTTCTACAGGTATTATGGCGATGATTTTCAATTTGTCACAATTAATTGACATGATGTCGATTGGTACACTTTTGGCATACACCATAGTTGCTGCTTGTGTTATATTATTAAGGTCGTTTTAAAATTTTTTTTTTTTTTGACATTTTATAAAGAGATGTTTTAAAGAGAATCCTGTTTTTGTTTTTCGTAGGTATCGTGGAAACGAAGAAGAAAAAATAAATAGTTTAAACGATTCGAAAAATAATAATAATAAAAATATATCGATGACGTCAAAAATGTTTAAACATTTTTTTCAATTTCGTAAATTTACAACGCCGACAAGTTTTTCCTCATCATTAGTTTCATTTTGTGTTTTTTTATTTTGTAGTGTAAATTTTTTTAATTATTATAATAAAAATAAATATTTTTCCATTCTCACGTGTCTTTTTTTTTTTTTTTTTTTTTTTTTTTTTTTTTAGGTTTTATCATACTCGGAGCTTTGTCCTTCATAGTTTTTTTACCTGATGAAATGGGGAATGCAACTCCTTGGGCAATAACAATTTTTACAATTTTGACAACAGGAGCTGTTGTGTTACTTGTAATAATTTCACTACAACCTAAATCGAAGCAAAAACTTTATTTTCAGGTCCGTAATTCATAGAAATTTATTTCATATATTTTGTTTCAAATAAAAGTATTAATTTCTTCTTTTTGTTTAAAATTCAGGTACCACTGATTCCATTGATACCAGCCATCAGCATCACATTTAATTTATATCTCATGTTGATGCTTGATCCAGTCACGTGGATACGATTTGGAATATGGATCCTTTTAGGAATTATTATTTATTTTACTTATGGAATACAAAATAGCATTCTTACCAAGTCAAAAGAAGTTGGCGTGGAAAAAAAAGATAAAACGGAAGTCGATGATGATGATGAGAGTTTAAATTATAAATTTTAACATAAAATAAAAAAATTATAAAAAAATGAATGTTTTTATGAGATTTATAAATAATAAAATAAAAAAGAGGTCAAAAAGAAATTAATAATAAATAAACCGTGACCTGAAATTCTCGATGGAGAAAAAATTAATAATGTTGTAATTTTTGCTTTTATTAAGAGACACACATTGATAAAATATTTAATCAGTAACAGCATTTTTTAAATAATTTAACAAGAGCAAAAATAAAATTCTAACAAAAATTTTTTTATAAAGTTAACATTAATTAAAATCAAAAAATTTTAATTTTTTTGATCGTGTTTTAAATGAGGGCCTTGAATTTTAAGTTCATGACTATGAATTTATAAAAGAAAAAAAAAAAAATTTTTAATTAAATCATAAATAAAATTTAAATTAATTTTTTTTTTATTAAAAAAATCAATTCTTAGCATGGTTCTAAATATTATATTTAAATATTTGAAAATTTCAAATCCTAACATAATGTAAAAAAAAAATTGTTCTTTCTGTTTCAAATACATTATTTAATAATGAATTAAAATTATCACCATAAAATAAATAAATAAATAACGGTTATTACAAATAATAAATAAATAATTTATAAAAATTATATTGAAATGTTTTTTTTTTAAACGATAAGATTTAAAAAAAAAATTTTTTTTAAACAACCGATGAGTAATTAAATTAATTTTTTTTTTAAATTTAAAATCTTATCATAACAGAAACACATTCTATTGTTTTATTATCAACCTGAATCTTATCAGTTCAACTTACGATTTGTTACACATAAAGTAACATCATCATTACCACGCGTTTTTTTTAAAAAAAAATTTTTTTGTTTTTTAACAATTATGTATTCGTATAATTAATTAGTTTATTTTTAAAATAAGTTTATTAAAATGAATTAAAAAAATAAATAAATAAATAAAATAGTTGAGATTAATAATTTTTTATATAAATAAAAATTAGTTTAAAAAAGGTTAAAAGTGATAAGTTATTTTTAAATAACGGTTTTAAATTTTTATTTGTTAAATTAATTATTATTATTATTATTATTTGTTTTAATTAAATGTTAATAATGAATGATAAAAGAACATTCTGGAAAATATAAATTTATAAAAATAGAATAAAAGAAAGAGGAGTAAATAATTAAAAAGAAATTAAATCATTTTTGATTAATGAAAAAAAATTTTAAAAATTTTTATTTTTTTCTTATTAAATTTGACAAAATAATAATAATAATAATAATAATAATAATAATGATGATGATGGATTAATTTTAAATTTTGCTTTTGTTACAATCATATTATGTATGTTATTTAATAATATTATGATCGAAATCATTCAGATAAAAGAAAAAGTTTTTTTAGTTAATCCTTTTTTTTTTTTATTATTTGTTATCTTATTAAATACTTTAAATTATTTTTTATGATAAATGGTAATAACGTAATAGTATAAAAATAAATTGTTTTTTACATCATCATCATCATCATTAAAAGAGATTAATAATAATAATAATAATACTAATAATTAATTTTAATTTTTTAGATTTGAAATAATGGAAAGGTATAAAAAATCAAAAATATTAAATTCGTTTATTAATTTGATCGAATTAGGAATTGGCAACAGCGTAGGAGTTGGAATTTACGTATTATTAGGTTACGTGACAAAAGAAATAGTTGGCCCCCCTGCATTTATATCAATTTTTCTATCGGGTTTCGCGGCAATTTTAACAGGTATAATAATTTTTTTTTTTATTAAATCGAAAAAAAATTAATTAATATTAAATAACGTGATTGATAATATTAATAATTTATTTATTTTTTACAGGTTTATGTTTGTCTGAATTTCAAGTTAAATTTTTTAAAGCGGATTCATCGTATTTTTATTCTTATTGCAATCATGGTGAAAATATATCATTCGTCTATGGTTGGGCACTCATTTTACAATATTTAGCAGGTATAATTGAACTGGAACTTTATTTTAAACAATTGTCATTATTGGCTGTACAAAGGAAAACGTTAATTTTATACCTTTTTATTTTTAAGGTTCAGCAAGTGTTGCAAAAGGAATATTTACCTTCATCGACGCAATACTCAATAATCATTTTTCAGGATTTTTGAAAGGAATAGTACCCATGAATCCTAATTATGGTTCTCTTTACATCGATTTGTTTTCTCCTATTTTTATCATAATAATAACCATATTGATGTCTTGCGGATGGAAGGATTATGGAATTGTACGAAGAATTTTTACCATTTGTAATTTGTTACTATTGGTAACGGTCATAATCAATGGAACGACAAAAGGTAAACGGAATTATTTCATTGTATCTTTTTTTCTTGTTTGCTGAAAATAATTTTGCCTACCTTGTTGCTTTTAGCAAATTTGAAAAATTGGTACCTGTATGAAGATAATTTCAACATAAAACTACTTATTGATAAAAATTTTATTCCTTATGGTTTGTTGGGAATTCTTAAGGGAGCTGCTTTGAGCTACTATGGATTTGTAGGTTTTGAAATGATTGGTAACACAGGTTGTTACAACTTTATTTAACTGAATTAGACGTTAAATTTAATGATAATAATAATGATTAATGTTTTGTTCAGGTAAAGAAATAAAAACTCCTCAAAAATCCATACCCTTAGGAATTCAAGGCACAATTTTGGTCACATTAATTATTTTTGCAAGTTCATCAATCGTTCTTACATTAACTTCACCCTATTACGAAAATAATGTCGGTGCTGCGTTGCCATTTGCTTTTGAAAAAATGAAATGGATAATTGCCGTTGGAAGTGGTTTTGGATTTTACACCAGGTAATACCAACGGTTTTTTTTTTTTTTTTTTATTCACATTGTAAAAATATTATTCATGTCATTCTTTTTTTCCAGTCTTATAGGAGTGACTTTTAAACTTCCCAAAATAATTAGATCAATGGCCAACGACGAATTACTTTTCCGGTTTTTGGCACGTAAATATTTCAAAAGAGAAATTCCAATACCAGCAATTTTATTCGGAGGATTGTTGACGATTTTGGCTGGTGGATTTTTTACTTTTCACATTCTAGTGTCATTAACGGTTTTCACCGCCCTCTTTATTTCCCTAATCATCGCATTCGACGTCATATTACTAAGGTACCGAATTCAAATTTATCTTTTTTTTTTTTTTGTTATGAATAAAATTAATTTGTTTCCCACTGTCGTTTCAGGTACGTAAAAAAAGACAATTGGGATATAGCAAGGGATGACAAGAAAAGAAAAAGGGTTGAAAATTTTGAAATTAAAATAACATTAAAAACTCTATTGAAAAATTTTTTTTATTATAATTCTCACAATCCGACAAAACTCACCGAAAGAATAGTCGTTATTAATTTAATTATATTGTGTAAGTTAATTAGAGTAAATAAATATTAAAAAAAATTTTTTATGTAAATTATTATTATTATTATTATTATTTTGATTTCAGGTGGTTCGTCGATTGGTTTTTCTATATTTTTTGGTCTGTTTAGTAATTTTTTAATAAAAGGAAAAATGGATGTGTTAATACCATTTGCAATATTTTTATTTTTAATACTTATTACAATTGCATCAATAAGTTTCCAACCGAAATATCTAGAACAAATTCCATTTAAGGTTCAATCAAAAAAGAATGTTTTTTTTTCTTTTTTTTTTTTTTTTAAATTGTAATTTTATAATTTAAATATGATTTTAGGTTCCTTTAATACCTTTGATACCTTGTTTAACAATTGTAATAAATATTTTATTTATGGTTTTATTAGATTCATTACCAAAAATTTTTTTTGTAATTTGGATGGCGATAGGTAAGATTTTTGAGAGGTTCGAATGTAAAAATCTTATACGTCATCAATCGAAATTTTTTTTTTTTTTTTTTTTTAGGGATTTTACCTCATTTCCTGTGGTACAGGTATAAAAATCGAAGGAAAGATGTTGGGAAAAATTCAGTTTATCAAATAAATAGATCGAATGCATTAAAATTAAGCGAATCCATATGGAAAATCAAAACGGAAAAGAAAGCATTTTACGAAGGTGCCGTTAATCCCGTTTTTGAAAATGACCATGTTAATCAGAATAATAATGATGACGGGGAAGAAGAAGAAGAAAATAAAAAAAAAAATAAAACAATGGTTAATGATGAGTTTCAAACGGCTTCAACGAAGATTTCAGAAAAAAAAACATCAAAAAAGGAAAAATCGAAGAAAGAAATTCAACAACACTCGCCGGTAAAAGATGAAACCGTTCAATGGGAATGCGTGGCAGAAATTCATACGGAAGAAGAAGAAGAAGAAAAAGAATTCCCACAGGATAATTACGAATTACAAGTCGTTGATATCACGTATAATTTTTTAACATGTATTATTGACGAGGGTTCTTTAAAAACAAATAATAATAATAATTTAACCGATGAAGATGCTAATTTTGTTTCGTCAGAGGAAAATAATAAAAAAGATGGAAAACCGGAAGAAGTCATATTGGATGATGATAAAAATGATGACAAATTAACGGAAATGAAAGAAGGAGAAGAAAATAATAATAATTTTTATAAAAGAAATAAAAACGAAAGAGATGCTGTTAATTCGAATTTAATTAAAATAATAGAATCTAAAATATGTAAAGATAAATCGAAATTATATGATGAAGACGAAGTCGTTTTAAGGAAATCAAATAAAGGTGGCGGTGGTAATGGCGGTGGTGATGATGATATTAATAACAATTCAATACTCGATAAATCTAATGAGAATAATAATGATGAAAACGAAGATGTTGTTAAAAATTTTAAAGAAAAATTAAACAGATTATTGAAAAGTCACATAAGCATGAATGATACTCTAAAAGAAGCCATTTTAAGATACAGAGCGGATGAAGAAATGGATTGGTTGGAAAATGTCGTTGAAACCACGTCGTCACAGTACAACATAAAAACATTAAATAAATCCCAAATAAAAAATAAATTAGAATTTTTACTGTCGAAAGGACCCCCGAAAAGAGCTTCACTTAGAAATTCATTTAATATTAACGTAAAAGAAAAAAATGATGACAGTCAATTAAATCCTGATAATTAAATAAAAAAAATTTTTTATTAATTTTAGTCTTGTTTTTCATGTAATTTAAATTAAATAAATTTTTAATTTGGTTTTTTCTAATTTTAAACAACGGAAATTATTATTATTATTAGTTATATGTAGGAAAAATTCAATATGAAAATCTTTTGCATTGAGATTTTCTTTCAGTTTAAAAATTGAGTAAATTTTTTCATTATAAATTTTAGATTAGAAAAAATCGAAACATCAGAGTTTGATTTATTAAAATTTTTATTAAATTTTTAAAAGCGTTTTCCAGAATAATAAATAAAAATCACAAAAGTTTATTTATTTTATTAAAAAATTTTCTATTAATTATGTTTTACATCGATATGTCATTCAATAATGATAATAATTTATTAAATAAAACTTTTCATTTTTAGGAATTCAAGCATAATTAGCAAAGGTTTTCAATTATTTTGGAAAGGAAAAGTAGTAAAAATAAAAGAAGAATACAAATTTTTTTTTTTTAAATAAAACAATCGAATAAAAAGTTTTTTTATTTTTTTCTAATGCCACTTGTAAATAATGATTACTTTATATGAATAATAGGAAATAAAATGCACAATTTACAATAAAAAAATAAAATAGAATGTATTTGATAGGAATGCTAGAAAAATAATTTTAAAAAAAACTCAAATTTTCTTTTTAACTGTTTTTTTTTTTTTTTTTTGTAATTATTATAAAAGGACAAATTATTACCTTGGAAATTAACATAAACAATACTTTTTAAAAATAATGTTTTAAAAATCATAAGCAGAAGAAGTTTTTAATTTACAATGTGTCATTATTAAACATGCCTGCACAAAAATGGCTTGATGAAGATTCTGTAAATAATAAAAAGAAAAATTTCAAAGGACTTAAATTTGCAACAAATTGTTTATGCCAAAAGGTTTAATTTTTATTATTTCAAATTTTTTTTTTTTTACAAAAAAGCTTTTATTCGTTTTGTGATTTTGGTTATGTGAATTTTATAAATAATAAATAAAAAAAAAATTCAATTTTTCAGTTTGCTTTTATATCATTTTGGGAAAAATTATTTTTGGTGTTGGGTATATTATTGGCTGTATTGGCCGGAGTATGTTTACCACTTATTGTACTTCTTTTTGCCGATTTAGTTACTATTTTCATACAGTATCAACTTAAAAAAGAAGCCAAAGAAGAACGCAGTTATTTTCAAACAGTATGGTAATTAATCAATTTTCCTGTTTTTTTAATTTTTAAATTTTTGTCTAATTTTAACTTGTAAAAAAACTTGATAAAAAAATTAATTTGAATTTTTTTCACGGTCAAATTTTTATTTTTTGATAGTTTTTTTTTTTTTACGAAATGTCAAACGATAAATAAATCATTTTGATAATTTTAGTGTCGATGAAGGCGGCGGCCATTTTTAATAACGGTTTTCTTTACTTTTTTTGCCAACAGGGCGAATCACTTGCGTTTTACGTTTTTAAAACAAGATGATTTTTTTTTCGACAGTAAAAATTTAGGCGGACTCATAGAAATGTACGCAATAGAAACATGTTTGTTGGGATTTTTAATTTTTATTTTGACATTTTCTTATTCATTCATATTAAATTACATTGCGGAAAAACAGGTATGACGATTTATAAATGTTTGTTTATATGTTTTTTCTTTACTCCATAGTTTTTACTCTTCTTCACAGATGAAAAATTTAAAGTTTCGTTATTTAAGTGCCGTTTTGAAGCAACCAGTAAACAATAAGCAGTGTTATGTCGATGTTTTTTTAAAATCTCACCAGTGAGTGCAAAATATTTCATTTGTGTAATATAAATATCAATTATAATTGAATACTTATTATTATCTCATTTTAAATTTCAGTCATTTACAGAATTTTTCAAATAGTGTAGGTGATAATTTTGGAACAATGATTTTGAGTTTTTCTGTTTTTACAACTTCACTTGTGATTGCTTTTTTAAATCATCACATATTAACATCAATGTTAATTGTATTATTTGTTGTTTTATCTGTTTTGTTATTTTTTTCAGTTGTTGTAAGTAATTTTATTTTTTTCCTTAATATTAAAAATGAATGATGTGAATTTTGTTTATACTATGTTATCCTAAATCTTTTTTTTAAAATTTTTTAGATATTTAAATATTTGACAGATTCAGAAAAAAATCATTATAGAATAGCTGAAAATTTGGCTAGGGATGTTTTTCTCAATATACATTTGGTAAAAGCTTATGAAGGAGAAACAATTGAAATTCGCCGTTTTGATAAATTACTTGTCACATCACAAACAGCCGGAATAAACACATGGATGTTTTTCGGTTTTGTCACCGGATTACTTTATATTCTTTTATATACTAGCTACGCACTTACATTCTGGCAAGGATTATCAATGGCATTAGAATCAAAAAGTAGAAATGAAACTCCTGATATATTAATCGTCGTTAATTTTTGCATGCAAATATGTTTTGTTAATTTTCTTAAAATTCCTATTTTTTTTATCATAACACAACAAGCTACAAAATCGTATAATGAGGTGGTGATAATAAAAAATCAATTTCCACTAATTTTTCCACCCTCCCCCCTTTAATCACTCAAACGTTACTAACGAACCATGATTTTTTTTTTTCTTTTTAGATTATGCATACAGTAAAAGAGGCAGACATTGAGCATAGTTTGAGAAAAGTAGATAATAATGTTTTTGGTGAAATATTATATTCATCAATTTATTTTACTTATCCAGGATCAGAAAAAACTACGTTAAATAATATTAGTATTAAAATTCCTCCGTATTCTTTGACTTGTCTCGTTGGAAAACCGAAATGCGGGAAATCGACATTTTTAAAACTTCTCATCAAACTTCATCAGATAAAAGAAGGTGCCATTCGTTTGGGTAAAACAAATATAAATGATATAAATTCAACGTGGTTGAGAAATCGTATTGGTTACGTCCCACAAAAAACAGCTTTGTTCGGTGAAACTATTCGGGAAGCATTAAGAGGAGAAAAAGGACCGGATGTTGATAACGAATTAATGTACGTTTGCAGAATGGTTAACGTTCATTCGTACATAACTTCACTTCAACAGGTATTGTGCACGTGTGTGTGTGTGTGTAGGTACGCACGTATCAGAAACAACAAAAGCAACCCCATCTAATTTAAATTTATTTATTTTACAGGGATACGATTCAGTGATAAATCACGACATGCCGGATGAAATAAAAGAAAAATTAGCCATTGCAAGGATTTTATTAAACGATCCTGATTTATTAATGTTGGACAATTGCATGAATAACATAAATATATTCACTCAAATGGCCATAATAACTGATTTCGTAAGTATAAGCACATTAAAAAATAAAAAAAATAAAACAAAATGTTTGTTAAATATTAATTAATTAATTTATTATTATGCAGTTATCGCAAAATAGAAAAACAGTAATTGTTGTCACTAACAAATTAGATATAATTAAATCAAGCGATTTTATTATTCATTTAAAAGATGGAGATTTGGAAGGTGGAACTTATAATAAATTATTATCGGAAAGTTCTAAATTTAGATCTTTTATCGAAAGGTCAGAATCGGATAAGATAATAATAGATTTCGAACCCGGAGTACCCGATGTAAAAAATTATTTTTATTCAAATAAAATAAAACAAGGACCTGATTTTTCACGTGATGAAATGATTCAAAATGAAGTCGCAATAACGAGAATATCAAAAAATAACACGTATTCATCCACGTACGATAATGAAAAAGAGGTAATTTAAATAAATAAGTACTCGCGAAACAAAACATAATAATTATTATAAAAAATTTCCAAAAAGGAAAAAATAAAACGTAAAGTTAACTGCTGGAAAGTTTTAACTCTCAATCGAAAAGAATTTCCTTATTTGACGACGGCTGCCATCGCGGCTACAATTATGGGTTTTTCACTTCCGGCCTATGCAACCCTTTTCGGTGAATCCTTGGGAGCCATTGTTTTGAGTTCAAAAGAAGAAATAGAAGAAAATATTAATTTTTTTCCACAAATGTTTCTAGTCGCGGGTTTGATATCCGGAATAGCAAAAATGGTCGAAGTAAATTAATTTATTTTAATGAATTGTAATTCAAAAAATAAAAATTTGTTGATTTTATATTAAAAAAAAATTATTTCAAGGGATACATGATAGCAGTTGCATGTTCAAAATTAACAAAAAGATTAAGAAAACAAACATTCGAAGCTTTGATACATCAGGATATGTCATTTTTTGATAAAGAGGAAAATTATTTGGGGGCACTTTTGACATTATTACGTCACGATGCGAGAATCATACCATTGGCAAGTAATTTTAATGTTAAAATTTTTGTTTTATTGAGGGAAAGGAGGGAGAAAAATAATTAAAAAATTTGATTTTTTCCAGGCGGCGGGACCCGAAATGGTACTCTCAATTAAAGTTGGAGGAATAATTGTTATATCTACCCTCGTATCTCTTTATCATTCATGGAAATTAGGTCTTGTCGTTTTGGGATTTTCACCATTTTTATTTTACGGATTATATTATTTATCACGTTTTCAAACCTCTGACGTTTTCGTATCAAAATATAAAAAAGCAAATAAAGTGAGAAAGAATAAAATTTAAAAAAAAAAAAAAAAAAAATTAATAATTATTTAAACGCAAAAAAACAAAAACGATTTTTTTTTGTTTTGCAGTTTGTTAAAACTCTATTGAAACATGCGGAAACTTTACAAATATTAAACATGGTCGATTATTACATGGCACATTATAAAAAATTATTCAATTATACGACTCCATCTTGTTTCGATAGTAGAAAAATTCAATCATTATTATTTGGTTATTCTCAAAGCATACCTTATTTTGCTTATTCCGTTTGCATGCTCTACGGTGGAATTTTATTACAAGACGATGAAATTTCTTTCACTGATTTTTTTAAGTATGTTTAATAAAAATTTAATTAAACCAAAAGTAAATTTTTAATTAATAAAAGAAATAATTTACCATTTAACAGAGTTTTGGAGTCGTTAATTTTGGGAACGCTTCTTTTGAGTCAAGTTTTAATGATAATGCCTAATCGTCGTCCATGTTTAAGATCATGTGCCAAACTTTTAGATCTTATACCTTCATCATCTGCAAGAGCTCGGTCGCTAACAAAAAGTAGATTCGAATTAGGAAATTATGTAAGAAATAATAATAATAATAATAATATTTTCGTAACGTGGATTTTGAAATTTTTTTTTTCACGCTTATTTATTATTAAAAATGGAAACCTATATTTCCTTGGTATATTTACTCGTCGTGAATTTCAGGTTACCATTGGATATGTTAAAATGAAACACATAAGTTTTGTACACGCGAGTAATAATTTAATTCCACGTTTATACGACATTAATATACAAATAAACGAAAGGCAAACAATAATTGCATTAACTGGTTTTTTAAATTCTGGTTCCACTTTACCCATTAAATTATTAAATCAATTTTATAAACCGACATCGGGAAGTATCGTAAGTGTCACGTGATTATTGTTTTATCGCTTTATTTATGTATCATATTCTAATGTTTTTTTTTTTTATTTTTTTTCCAGATGATCGACGAATTCGACATCAGTAGAGAATTCAGTTTGAAAACACTAAGAAGAAATGTCGGATTGGTTGATGGTAATGATAAATTTTTTAGAAGAACCGTTGCCAGAAACATATCGTACAGCGTGAATAATGCCAGAGACATTATTGAAACATACGTTGGTATGGATGATATTGTTGCCGTTGCAAAAGAAGCCGATATACATAATTTTATAATAACGTTACCGGAGGTAATAAAAAATTTTGTAAAACGATTACCGTAATAAATACTAAAACGAAAACGAAAATTGTTATTTAGGGATATTACACGATAATGACCGAAGAAGTTTGTAAAAAAATGACCCCGGGTCAAATTTTAAGACTTTCTTTGGCTAGAGCTTTGTTAAGAGATCCGAGACTTTTACTAATAGAAAATATCGGAATTGAAATTGACGAAGATGCACAAATGCTTATGGAAACGGCCATATTAAAAGCTTGTTTTTCTCGTACCGTCCTCCTATCATCGAGTTATCTATCCTCCGTATCCAATGTTGCGGATTTTATTTATTTTTTCGAAAATGGTTACATTAAAGAATTTGGAAAACATCAAAAACTAATGGAAAAACAAGGTTAAGTATTTTTTTTTATATTTTTTTTCTAACTTAAAGTCTATAAAAAAAATAATTTAAATTTTTTTTTTTTTTTAGGAAGTTATTATAAATTGTACGAACAGCAAAAAGAACAAATTTCAAATTTGAGAGAGTCTAGATTGTCGCAATTTGACGAAGACTAATAACCAAAATTTTTTTTTTTTTCCATAATCGCTTAAAGGAAAAATTCAGGTTAGTGATTATTTATCATCATGATAAGGATTATTATTATTATTATTTATCTTTTTGATAAAATGATATTCTTTATAAGATTTTATCACGTTTTATTTTTAAAGAAAATCAAAATTTTTTTTTTAAATTTAAAATTTAAGTACAAAGAGAGATAAACTTACTAAAATGTTTTACTTTCTAAAAAAAAAAAAAAAAGTTGTTTTAATTATTTTATAAAATATTAATTGAACATTAATTGATATTTGGCAACACTGTTTGTAAAATATTTTACAAATCTTACTACAACCTTTTAAATTTTTTTTAACATTTCAAGTGTTTTTTTTTTCATTCACTTGATTTTATAAAACAAATTTAGTATTGTTTTATAAAATTGTTTAATATCACAGTAGGTAAAATGTTTGTAAAAAGTTTTTTTTTTTTGTAGAAATCACTTCAATCCAGCATCACTTGAAAGTTGTAATAAGGAGAACTTGCTCTCATGTAACTGGCTCCCATCATCATACCACCTCCAGATCCACCAGATCCACCCGAACCTCTCGAACCTCCGAAACCTTGGCCAGCTCCACCTTGTCCGGAGCCTCCGAAGCCACCGCCTTGACCGGCTCCTCCGAAACCACCGCCTTGACCGGCTCCTCCAAAGGAACCACCTTTTCCAAAGCCTCCGGAACCACCGCCTTGACCGGAACCTCCATAACCACCGCCTTGACCGGCTCCTCCGAAGCTACCACCGTGTCCAGAACCTCCAAAACCACCACCTAAACCAGCTCCTCCAAATGATCCACCCTGTCCGGATCCTCCGAAACCGCCACCGTGTCCTGCTCCTCCAAATGATCCACCCTGTCCGGATCCTCCGTAACCACCGCCTTGTCCAGATCCTCCAAAACCTCCACCGTGTCCTCCTCCGAATGAGCCTCCATGTCCTGAGCCTCCGAAGCCGCTACCACCACCTTGACCAGAGCTTCCAAAAGAACCAAAGCCTCCATTGTTATAACCTGATCCTTTTTAAAAATAAAAATTAAATTTAAATTTAATTTAATATTTTTTATTAAAATAATTTAAACTAGAAAAAAATATTTTACCGGAAGATGATCCAAAATTTCCACCTTTCGATGAACCCGATTGATAAGAATTTAAACTAGAACTTCCAAATGATGATTTTCCACCGGAAAATGATGAACCTGATTTGTAATTACTTCCACCCGAAAAACCTAATTTATAAACTTGTTTATAGTTAACTAAATTTTTTTTTTTTTGTTTTGTTGCCTCAAAAATAATTTACCTGAATTACCTCCTCCGGCATTAAATGAAACCGAAGGTGATGGATATGAATAACTACCACCAACTTCTCTTTTATTACTTGGTAATGCAAGTGTTGTTGCCACAAACAATGCAGCCAACAAAAAAAACTAAAAAAAAATAAATATCAATAAATTATTTTTACAACTAAATTGCGCATTTAATATTTTTATTAACCGGGCCGAATAATTATAAATTTTTTTTGCAAAAAACTGGATTGAAAAAAAGCCTCGAGCAAGAGAAAAACAATTTTTTTTTTTAATCAATTCATAATTGTAACGGAAAAATAAATAATTTAATTTTAAATTTCGAAACCGGAAATTGATTTTGTTTACAAACAAAAAAAAAATTGTTCTGAAAAATGTTCTTAAAAAAAAAAAATAATTAATTTCAATTTTTTTTTCTTTTTTTTCTAGGAGGAAAATAAATGCAACGCAGGAAGTTGAAAGCAGTTTAACCGGAAACAGTTAAAAGAAAATTCATGAAGGAAAAATAAGGTAAGTTATTACAAATAATAATAATAATTTTTAAACACTAATGATCCGTAAAGTACTGCAACTACCTACCCGTGTATTCCACATAATTACTCGTACGCTTGTTGAGACACTTGGACAGAAACTAAAATGTTTTTTACATAATATCAGGTACTTATATAGTAGGAAAAGACAAAAAGAGGGAAGGAAAAAATAAGAACAGTAAACGCGAATTATTAAATTACGAAATTTTTTTTTTTTTTTTTTTTTTTGTACGAAAGATGGAACGAAAAACGAACGTTAAAAAAAAAAAAAGGTCAAAATATTGTATGCATAAAAAAATATTCTCTCTCTCTCTCTCTCCCCCACTCTCTACCCTTACTTTTCACACACACACACTCTCTCTCTCTCTCTCTTTCCCTCCCCCTTTTCTCGTTTAAAATTTGTTTCATTATGCTGACCTTCTTTTAACAATAAAATGGAGGGAAAGAAAAAAAAAAAATAAGGAAATTTTATAATAATAATGATTTTTTTTTTTTAAATTCCCAACATTATTGCCCTCGCGCAATTTTATATTAAAATTTTCAATTCATCCCAATAAAATTCAGGTTTTTTTTTTTTTTTTTTTAAGGTTTTTGTAACTTTGATAAAAAATTGCAAAATTGATATATATGAAACGCTTTCGGGTGAAAACTTGCGTACACGTGGTACGAATCAGGTATATAAAAAGTTCGACGCACTCTCAATTCAATAATTTTAAAATTTTAAAAACCTTCCGGGTTGATAAGGGCCCCGTACGAACCTCTTAAGGTTTATAAAAAAACATTATCGTGTTACCGACGTTAGTTAAACCATCTTAAATTTATGATAACCGGATATCAAATGAAAATCAATATGGCGAAAAAATGTAATCATCATCGTTCCAGGCTTTTTACTTTTGTTTGTTTTTATTATTATTATTATTATGTATTTTGACATTGACCTAAATTCACGTTGTTTGTTTGTTTGTTTTTGTTTTCTAAAATAAAATCAACAACAAACGCGTTATTCACACGCCCTCGTACTCACGCACACACGGACGCACTTAACAAAATTTTTTTTTTTTGGCGATTTCGTGGAGGGGGAAGGGGGAAAAGGGGGGGGGAAAGAGAAAAAACTTTTCCGTGCGGGAAAATTCATATTACGTAATTAATTCGCATTCGTGTTCCGCCATTGTTTCTTCCATTTTAAAAACAAAAAACATAAAAACGAACGTGAAAAAATTTTTTTTTTTTTTATTGCAAACGTTCTCACGATTATGTTTATTAATGAAAAAAACCTCTTATTGCCATGTTTCTCATCATTAGCCAATAATATTATTTTGATTTTATATATAATATAATGCAATATCTACTCTAAGAGGTTGAAAGGCATAATAATAATAATAATTTTGATCACGTTATTTATATCCGCCATTTTTTTTAATTTATTTTCGTCTCGATTTTAAACGCTCTCTCTCTCTCTCTCTCTGAATTTTATGACCTTTTAATTTTTCACGAATGTTTAAAAAAAAAAAATTTTACGAATGAATTATTATTATTATTATTATTATAATAATAATAGATAATGATACACATTGACTAACCGTGGTAAAATATTATGAAATGAAAAATAAATTTAATTACGATCGTTTGATTTTCCGATTATAAATATTTTTTTTTTTTTTTCGAAAAAAGAAAATTCGTGCGTTAATTTAATTAATAACTTTTTTTCGTAACGGTCAAAAATTGATTTGTAATTTATCAGGTGACGAAATTTTTTTAAAATGACCTTTCAACTCTTCATTTCGGGTAAATAGAAGAGTTTTGAACTGATGACGTCATACGTTAAACATCGTAATTTAATTTTTTGATTTAAATTTATTATTTTATAAAACGGTTGCGCACATCATTCGTGTTTCGATATAAAATTGTTTGTTAAATTTGCGTAAAAAAAAAAAAAAAATTACGTACAAATCGTCTGTTTGTTTGTTTGTTTGTTTGTTGTTTGTTTTAGCAAATAATCGCGATTAATTTGTTTCGATGTGTTTGTTTAAAAAAAATTTTTTTTTTTTTTTTTAATGAATGGGCGGTGGTGGCGTTTTTTTTTTTTTTTTAAAAAATAAAATCTTCCTTTGATGATGACGTCATTTTAATGATAACAATCATTTTTAACCGCCATCTTGAATGTAACAGTTTAGGTCGGATGCTGTGGCGGTTAATCTTATCACGATATCATAATTTGTTATCGGATGCAACAATCGAGTTGTCCTGTCGCAACAATACGATTGTATAATTCCTTTTAAAAACAAACAAACAATTTCCACTCCATTATTATTATTATTATTATTATTATTATTATTATTGTTTTTTTCCGTTACGAATGATAAATTAAACTCTCTTTTCGTTGAAATCGTTTGTTGTTTGTTTTGTTTTGTTCTCAGGTTTTAACAAAAACAAAATCGTTTTGTGTTCGCGTGTGAAATAATTAAATTAAAATTCAATTTTTACGCAATCAAATGTGCCAACTTATAAATAATAATAATTACCATTATTATTATTATTATTATTATTATTATTATTATTTTTGTTTAGTCGTTAAAATCGTGGCAATAGATTTTATTACGGGTATCCATTCTTTGACATTGACCTTTTTTTTTTAACGAAAGTGATCACGAAAGAAAATTTATCGATTCGTGATGTTTACATAACGATCGATCGATTTTTTTTTTAATAAAAACGAAATAAATAAATTATTTAGATTTTATTATTGATTTATTGATTTTTAATTGATAATTTTAAACGGGATAATTTTGATGATGATGAAAAATGGCGCGGTAAATTTTAATTTAAAAAAAAATTTTACCCGAAAAATTTTATTTAAATTTTTTGAAAAGTGAAAATTTTAAAAATGGAATTTGTGATCATAATAATAATAATAATAATTGTAAACTTAAAACCTTGACCGGTAACAAAAAAAAAAAAGATTTTTGGTTTATTTTTTTTGGGAAGGGGAGGGAAGGGGGGGGGGAAATTGTGTCAGCCTTAAGAAAATCATTCACGTAATTCAATTTATTTTTACTGCCTCGTTAAAATACAACTGCGCACTTTTTTATATTTTAATTTATTTTAATAAAATATTATTTTCACGTAAGATTATGAGAAAAATTTGATGATAATAATACTTATTCAATGTAAATTTTTGACAAAACGAATTTTACCGGATGATAAACGAGGCCGTCAAAAAAATAATGTTAATAAATCCCCCCGTTTAAATAATTAATTAAATAATTAACGTGAGAATAATTATTTAAAATAAAAACTTATTATTATTAATATTTATTTAAAGTTTTTTATTTTAAAAGAGAAAAAAGAAAAATTTTGAGACAATTATTAATAATAATAATAATAATAATATTTTTTTCAATGACAACGTTATAAAATATCCATCGTGTTAAGAATAAATAAAATCGTGGCATTAGCGAACAAAAAACAAAAAAATCCTTGGACTTAATGAAATAAAAAAAATTCGCATCCTTTTATTATCGAGAGTGTTTTGGAAAATTATATTTAAAAAAAATTAGTTCTAGAATATTCTTTATTATTATTATTATTATTTATTTTTCAATCTCCAACATTACATTATTAACAACAGCAAAAAATTTTTAATTCATTTTCGTTGTTTTCCCCCCCCCCCGCCATTAATAAAAAATGACGTATTTCCGGTTTTTGTTGTTATTATTATTATTATAAAATAAAATACCATTAAAAAAATTTTTAAATAATTAAAATTTTGAAAAATTGAAACGTTGCAAAAATAAAATGAAATGATAATAATAATAATAATAATTAGTAATGTGAAAAAAAGGTAATGATAATAATAATAATAATATTTTAAAATGAGATTTAAGTTTAAAAAATAAATAAAAATTGAAATCGTTTTTTTTTTTTTTTGTACATTAAACGTGACGTCATTTATAATTAAGACAAAAGGATGTTTTCCGTTAAAAAAAAAATTCGTTTTAATTTTAAATTTAAAAAATTACTTAAAAAATTTACCAAATCATCGAATTTAACTCGTTTTGAAATAATAATAATGATAATTTTTACGGATTTTTTTTATTTTTTTAAGATTTATTAGGGTTAATAACGATGATGATGATGATGATGACAATTGTTTTTTTTTTCCTTATTGATTTTTATAATATAATTCGTTAGAAAATCAAAAAAAAAATTAATTAAATTAATAATAATTAAAATATTTTTCAAAATTCGTTCTTTGTTTTCGTTCGTTCGTTCGTTCGTTGCCATTGGCTGATGAATCGAATAACGTCCGTTAAAAAAATTTAAATATGAAAAACCGCCAACTCGCGAAAACGGAAATGGCTAGCAGAAGACAAAATAAACTGTTGAATGATATGAAGCTGTTGTTGTGCAACACGTGCTGCAGTGAGAAATATATTTTTTTTTTCTTTTCGTTAAAATGAAAGAGTTTGTACGAATGTAAAATTTAAATTTAACGAATTTTTAAATTGGAATGATTAGAATAATAAACCGTTGTTTTTTAAAAAAAACGTTAATTAGTTAATTTAACGTTTATTCGTTTTGACAGTTTTAAGTTTGTTTACTTTTTGACAACAATTTATGTATTTTTTTTTAATAGTGGTACGAAAAATAAATTTTATTTTTTAATTTAGTTATTAATTGATTCAATAGGGAAGAAATTAATAATAATAATAATAATAATTGAATTCAAAGTATCGTTTTTAATAACGACAAGAAAAATTTTTCTACATCATAAATGATGATGATGATGATGAAGAAATACTAAACTAAAATTAGAGATTAGATTCTCTATTGTTTCGTGATCGATAATTAATGAAAAAGTAAAAAAAAAAAAAAAAGAAAAGGAAATAATATGAATGTTTCTTGGTTACCGAGAGATACGACAAATATATGTCGTGAATTTACCACAGTCACAACATGTGCTCCAGCATTTGTTGCATTTATGACATTGATAACTAAATATTTTGGAAATTTTGTCGACGATGAGGTAAAACTTATTTTTATATTTAAAACAGTTTGTACAATTCAAAAACGAATATTTGATGGGACATAATTTTTTTTTCTTTGTTAAAAATAGAAATCATCGTTCAACTGTGATCATCATCACCAACATCATCATCATCATCACACAAACCTTAGATTTTTATTTCCAAGGCGTAAAAATAAATAATAATAATAAATAAGCAGAGTAGTTCGATTACAAATATATATATATATATATTCAAACAAAAAAAAAATTTTCTAACAGAAAATGGAGGCATCCTGTAGGAAATTACCCACTCCTCCATACAGGGCTCAACCTCAAAAAAGTACACAAGAAGAATATGATTTTATTGTTGTCGGTGCTGGTTCTGCCGGTTGTGTGGTCGCCAATAGGTTAAGCGAAATATTTAATTGGAAGGTAGCCCATGATGTTTATATTTTCATTTATTTTTACAAAATATTATTATTATTATTATTTATGATAATGTGACACTTTTATAAGTTGTTATTCGTTAAAGGTTCTCTTATTGGAAGCAGGAACGGAAGAACCGAAAGTTGCTCAAGTTCCCGGATTTGCTCCCATGTTACAAAGGAGTTCAATCGATTGGTTTTACATGATGCAACCACAAAAACATTCATGTTTGTCTAGGCCTAATCGTCAGTGTTATTGGGCACGTGGAAAAGTTATGGGTTAGTTAACAAAACCATAAAAAGTTTATTTAATTTGTACAAAATGTAAAACATTTCACTTCTATGAAATACTTATTATTATTATTATTATTTTATTACTCTAGTTAATAAACCTAGTTAAGTAAAAAAAAAAAGGGTAATAAAATCGAAAATGATTTATTTAAGGCGGGTCAAGTACGATTAATTACATGATGTACGTTAGAGGAAATCGTATGGATTACGATTCTTGGGAAAATCAAGGAAATTACGGTTGGAGATACGAAGAAGTTTTGCCATATTTTAAAAAATCTGAAAAAAATATAGATTGTGATGTTTTGATGGATAAACCGGATTATCATGGGAAACATGGCTTTCAGTTAGTGAGTAGATTTTCGTGTTTGGATCAAAGTGTACACGCATTGGTTGAAGCATGGAACGAGTTAGGTAAAAAGGGGGAAATTATCTGTACATATGTATGGGGAACGATAAAAAAGAAAAAATTTTTATTTTTTGTTTTGTTTTATGTCACACAAAAGGATTTTCAACGGTCGATGTAAATGCGGAAACACAAATCGGGGTAATGAAATTACAAATGACGCAACAAAATGGAGCTAGAGTAAGCACAAATGCGGCATATATAAGACCTATAAGACGAAAGCGGAAAAATTTAAAGGTTAAAACTCAATCGCACGTTTTAAGAGTTTTAATAAATGATAATTCGGAAGCTTACGGCGTTGAATATTTTGAAAAAAATTGCGTTAAAGTCGCATTGGCGAGAAAAGAAGTCATACTGTCGGCTGGATCATTAAATTCTCCAAAAATTCTCATGCTGTCGGGAATCGGTCCGAAAAGTTATTTATCAGAAATCGGAATACAAACCGTGTCGGATCTCAAAGTAAAAAAAAAATTTTTTTTTTTGTTTTTAATTGATAAAATTTAGCGTTTAAATAATAATTATTAATTATTTAAGGTTGGTGAAAATTTACAAGATCACGTTACGTTTGACGGATTCATATTTTCTCTTCCCCCGAATGTATCCGTCATGAAACCGGAAGTTAATGATCAAATCAAAGACATGTTTGAATATTTAAATTCGAGAAAAGGTCCCCTCACAACAACCGGTCCCCTATCGTGTGGCGTTTTCGTTAAAAGCAAAATCGAAAAACAAAACGAGTGAGTGAATAAATTTTTTTTTTTTCCCCCCCATTAAATGTAGAAAAATTAATAAATTTTCCGATTGTTAAGGTATCCAGATATACAATATGCATTCGAAGGTATAAAAATAAAAGATTACTTAACAAATCCAGGTCGAGTGGGTGAATACAATTTTGGTCCACTTTCTTATTACGATGGAATTGAAATAAGACCGGTTTTATTAGCACCAAGAAGTCGAGGGTATTTAATTATTTTTTAATTGAAATTTTTTTCCATGTTTATCCGAGGGAAAACGAAAAAGAAAATTTTTTTTTTGTATTCTTAGATACCTAAGACTTAATTCAAGCGATCCCATATGGGGCTCACCGGAACTTTATCCCAATTATTTCCTATGCAAAGTAGATTTAGATATATTAATAGAAAGTGTAAAAATAGCATTGAAACTTCTCGATACGAAAATAATGAAAAATCTCGGCGTCAAATTACTCGACGTCCCACTTCCGGATTGTAAATCTTACAGTTTCGGTTCTACGGATTATTGGAAATGCGTTATCGTTCAATACACAACGACGATACATCATCCCGTGGGAACTTGTAAAATGGGGCCGGAATACGATTCGGATGCTGTCGTGGATTCCGAATTACGAGTTTACGGTGTTAAAAATCTCAGAGTCGTCGATGCGAGCATAATGCCGAAAATAATAAGGGGAAACACGAATGCTCCCACGATAATGATCGGGGAAAAGGGTTCGGATTTGATTAAAAAATGTTGGGACGTACCGGATTTTAATTATAACAAGTGAAATATCGGATGACGTTTTCATTGGTTTCATATTATTGTATGTAATTTAAACGTATCGGACGGAGCCTTTAAGGGAGGAATGAGCGACCGTTAATAATTAATTCATTATTAATATTTGCAATTTACATAACATTAATTTATGTAAATTATCGTGACGTAATTTTTTTTTCATATTCCTAACCTAATTAACTTTAATATTATAAAGGAAAAAACAAAAAGCGCCTGACAAATTTTGTTTATGCTACAAGCGTTACATTCGTGTTTACAATTAATCTAACCTCACGGTAATGAGTTTTTACCGGCGGGGGGGGGGCGGGGAGAAACAAATAAAATGGATGCGATGAATGTTGTTATTTAATATTTTTAATGTCAAAAATTATTTTTTTTTATTTATTGTACGTAAATTTTAAAAAAAATATATATGTAAATATTTTATTTATTAGTTATTATAAAAGAATTCATTGTTTTTTTATTTATTATTATTAATTTTGGGGTTTTTTATAGATGAGATTTATTTAATATTGACCCAATTTTAAAAAGAATAACGGACTTATTATGGGGTTAGAAAACAGTTTTAAAATGCCCCCCCTCTCTTTCTCTCTCCCCCCCCACTCCCTCCGAAAGAAAAGCAAATAAATTTATGAAGTCACGCACGAACTGTTTACAAGTACATAAAAAAAGTGTTTATTTTTTTTTTTTTTTGCTCATTAATAATAATTTATTTATTAAAAAAAAATAATTTCATGCAAATTTAATAAGATTTTAACTAACCATAGGTTATATTCATTTAAAAAAGATAAATAATATTTGTTTATGATAAATATATTCATTGATAAGAATATTCAAATAATATTTACATAAAATGTTTGTTAATTTAAAA